TAAATAAATAAATAAATAAATAAATAAATAAATAAATAAGCAATTGTAACTCTATGGCAAAGAGCAAGAGAAGAGCAAGAGATAGCCATTTTCTCAGGAATTGTAGAAGGGTCTTCTATTAAATGTTCTTCCTCAGAAAACAGGAATCAAGACAATTGCAAAGATCATTTAATTCAGGGGTGGGAAACCTTTTTCTCTGCCGAAGACCATTTGGTTATTTATATCATCACTCGAGGGCCAGACACAATTATCAACTTAAAAATTAGCCTGCTGTATTTGTTCAAACATTTAATTAACTCACCCCTTATGCCTTGGCAGGGCCAGACCAAATGATTCTGCAGACCTTATATGGCCCGCAGGCCCGACGTTCCTCATCCCTGATTTAATTGAAGGAGAGAGGAACCAGCCCAGCACAGAAGCCAGTAAATAGGGGAATCAGCAGACAGAAGTATGACCACCCAAGGCCTTTGCTAAGGTCACTTTCACATAGAACAAACTAAAAGCAAATAGACTGGAAGTCTTTAGTAAGACTGTTTCAAGCATTTGTAATACAGTTGATTTTATCTGTTACATTCTGCATTCCATCCTTGGATCCCCTGCCCCTGACCATCTAAATGAGATCCTTAAAATTTGCATATATCAAGGTTCCCTCTTTGTACTGTAACGTTTTATGAGTTTTGACAAATGCGAAGTGTTATCTACTCACCATTATGGTACCATACAGAATAGTTCAATAGTACTAAAAAAAAATCCCCTATGCTTAACTCTCCATCTCTCTGAGCCCTCAGCAATCACTTGTCTGCTTGAATGTGTAGGTTTTGCCTTTCCAGCATGTCAGATAAGTGGAATAATACATATAGAGCCCCTTTTCAGATTGGCTTTATTCATTTAACAACATACATTTAAGAAGTATCCATGTTTCTGCAGATTTGATAGGTCATACTTTTTTACTGCTGGATATTACTCCATTACATGAATATACCACTGTTTGTTGAGACATTTGTTTATTGAGGGACATCTTGGTTTCTTACTGTTTTGATGATTATAGACAAAACTGATATAAACATTCAGCTTTTCATATGGCATGTTTTCTAATCATTGGGAGCAAAATGGCTGAATCCTATGGTCAGACTATGTTTAGGTTTGTTAGAAATTGTCAAACTGTCTTCCAAAGTGGCTGTACCCTCTTGCATTCCCATCAGAGATGCAGAAGAGTTTCCTGTTTTTCTGAATCCCGGCTTGCTTGGTATTCTCTGTTTTTTAGTTTTCAGTCATGTTAATAAACATAATGTAGTTATCTCATTGTTATGTAGAAATGATGTTGAGCATCTTTCACATGCTTATTTACCATTTATAAATCCTTGGTTTGTGTCCTCAATATATTTTGCCCATTTTTACATTTTTTGTTTTCTTATTGTTTAGTGTTAAATTATTCATATATGGGGGACAAGTTCTTTATAAAATTTGTGTTTTGCAAATATTTTCTCACAGTATGTGGCTACCTTTTCATTCTCTTAACATTGTCTTACACAGAGCACAGTTGTTTTTTTTTAATTTTAATAAAGTTGAACTTTTCTTTTTCTTTTTCTTTTTAATAGATTGTGCTTTTTATGTTGTATCTACAAATTATTTACCAGGCTCAAGGCCATATTGATTTTCTTCTGTTTTCTTCTAGAAATTTATAGTTGTATATTATACATTTAAATCTACAATCCATCTTGAGATAATTGTTAATTTTTTAAAAGATGGATGTAAGATCTGTGTCGACTTTCTTTTCTTTTTCTTTTCTTTCTTTCTTTTTTTTTTTCTTTTCTTTTCTTTTTTTGCATACGGGTGTCATATTGTTCTAGCAAATTTTTGCATGTGTTGAAGACTATATTTTCTCCATTGAACTGCCTTTGTACTTCTCATAACCAGTAGACTGTATAATGTAAACTGTTCATGAAATTAAAAATTTTCAATGGCATTTTAATGACACAAATATAAAAGGTATAAATTCTACTAAATGCCAACATTCAACTGATGGTGTAGATTTTTAGTGATCTATTATGAAAGAAACTGCCTTGACCTGTCTGTTGCCTGCTTTTCCAACTTCATCTCTCCATGTTCACCAATTCCAGCCCCGGCAGTCTTTCTATTCCTAAATTACACCAAAGTTGCAGTTGCCTTCAATCCAGTTTGCCTTTGTGGGCCAGTAGGGCTCTTGAAACTCATGAACTTTCCTTTTCTTTTTGGGAAAAAAAATGTAAAATTCACAAATTGTAACTACCAAAAAAGTTATACCAAGATCTGAGTGTTCCTTTCCACCAGATACATTGGTCATATTGCAACAAGAGACAATGTAAAGTTTATAAAATTCCTGGGAAAAGTTTCTCCTCCATCTGAAATGATGCTGCCTAATCTTCTAATGTTTCTATTTGGAAAACAGAAAGGGACTTAATTCTTAATGCCTTAAAAGAGGAAACCATACGGCCCACTGATTCCACTCCAGATTGGGGCTGGTTCAGACCCAGCCTTGAGGCAGTCAGCAGAGCATGCCTGGGGGCTCCTGTACCCAAGGTGACTTTAGTCTGAAGTCCAGGAGGAAGCAGCCATTTGGTGTAACCCACCCAGCAGAGAGGTGAAAGCTATCTAAGTGATAACTGAATATTATCTTGCATGAGGAATAGAGAACATTCTTTCACTGGTCTCTGTCTCCTGGTATCTTTTGACTTCCATCTCATTTTTTTTTTAAGAAGCAAGAACAAGTTAAGCTCAGAAAATGGTCTGGTCTTGACCATTATTGTTTACCACATTATTTTTTAAACTCCCCCATCACCTAACCACTGTATTTTATTTTCTTCACGGGTCTTCGTACTTTGAGAAATTGTTGTGTTGGTTTTCTGCCTTTCAAATTCCTCCTCCACTCTCTCTTTAGAATATAAATTCCATGAGGGCAGGAGCCTTGGTATTGATCTGCATTAAGATCTGGAATATTGGTTCTAAATGAAGATTTTTAAGTTACTGAATAATAGAATAGATGGATGAATGAATGATGGTAGACTATAAACCAGGCTTTTTAAAACACAGAGCCTAGAAAATTGGGCATTTCAATGTATTAATGAGAAGAATATATCAAAGAGAATAAAGAGGCAAAGAAGTAAAACATCTTTCTCACATGGCATTTATAACACAATGATGATGTTGAGTTTCTTCTCATAGTACAAAACTGAAACCATTACCTAATTCATGCACATGAACATTTCAGAATATCTCTCAGAAACCATACTCTCAAATGGTAGGGCAAAGACACAGTAAATAAAATTCAGAATGGTGTCCAATTTTGCACTGTGATAAAGTTAACATGCAATTCTGAATTACATACAAAACACCAGGCAGCTCTTAGGTACCTAGCAAGAGAGACCATCTAAGCATGGGGTACCTTAGAAAGCCAACAATCTAAGCCTTGCATTTGAAACAGCAGGGAATTAGCCCATCAAGAAAATGGCCTACCCACATTAATGCAGATATTTATGGGTGCCTCTGGGAATTATTGAGTAATATGGAATAGGTGAAACTCTAAAAGCCATTTATTTACATTGTACCAAAATAACCAGTACATTCAGTAATGCCAAAGACTTTTCATTGTCAGTTTGCCATGTTGTAGACCAAACAGTCCCTTGTTTTGGTAGAGCTCTGAATCAGGAAAATGTGCCAAACCCTCAGGATTTTCTATTGTAGGAAACAACTCGGTGAGTGAACCACAGTGAGAGCTGGCCATTCCTCACTCAGACCTAGCTGTAAAAGTGATTGCAATCAAACAGCTGGGGATGTACAGACTACTTCTTGAATACATTTTTATTTCTTGGCCTTATGAAAAGAGAGCATGCTATTTTAACAAATTCTATTTCTGAGATTATTATATTTCTGCCATTTTGCTTTTTAGAAGGATATTGTCCTGAAGCAATTCATACTCTTTCAGATACATCTCTTAACGTGCTGCAATATAAAGAGACCTTCCAATTTGTTTTAAGAATCTGTCATTCCTATAGTGTGAATAAGCCTAGATATGATGAAGCTGGCTAGGTGAATTAGAAGCCCTTCTCTCTACACTCCATATTTGTTCCATTTTTACAACAGCTTTTGGCTTAATTGAATACATTATAGTGGAAGAAAGGGTCCATTAACCAGCTTCAGAAAAGTGAGAAATATGTTCCTTTTAGGTTTTTTTTTTTAACGAAACATTATAAAGTAGACTACTTTAAAAATGTCATTCAAATGATTTTTAATTACTACAAATGCATTGAGATGTTAATACACTTTCATAAAAGGCAGGGCTACTATTCCATCCATCTTTTTCTGCCACGAATTCCAACGCTAAGAAAATGATTTCTTTTGATCCACTCTGATAGCATGTAATTAAGGAACAATAAAACATATGGCTCAATTACCACTGCTTCTCATCAAGCATGAATTAATGAATATCAAATTATTATTAATTGTTTTTTCCTGGCTCTTTTTTACAGGACAACAATTATACATTGCTGGATTTTGATAAGCATTTTGTGTTTACAACCACGGACTAGTCTCTAAGAAGAGCAGATGCTTGAAATCATCATCCAGAAGACTAATTCTTTAAATTTATCAACATTTGAAAAATACATGATTATTTTTTTTTATAATCACCCTAATTTATGTCAGTTGATTACAACTGCTTTAAACTTCTCCCAAATGACACCCTCTCCTCATTGTTCCATATGCCTTCCTTCAAGAAGCAGTTGCTATGTACACATAAAATAGTTTACAAGTTCAATTTCTCAATCTTAACAATAGTCTAAGTTCCTCACATATGATTACTGGATTTTTCAATTCCTTGAAAAAAGCTCTTTGAAAATAAAAGCTATAGCTTTAGAAACTAAATAATTAAACAGTGTGTATAGAATATAATAAAGTAGGATCACTGTAATTGACAAAATCAATGCCAATGAATGATATTTATAGACAGGCCACAAAATGACTTCGTATCACTGATAGTTCATTTTATTTGAATAAGCCATCTGTAAACATAAAGTGCTATGTAATATGAATAGATGTAACATGTTAAAGAACATGTCTTTTGTAGTCCATAACCATTATTTTCTCATAGATTATTTATATAACCAGATTTGAAACACATGCAAAAAATTAACCAATTATAATATGTAAAATACATGTCATATAATTTTACCCATTACCCATAAGCCAATGTCTTTCTATTTTTTAAAATTATATCTGCAATAAAATGAATTACACTGAAGTTAAGCTGTTCAGATGTCCTCTCTAGTTCAAAATGATTAACAAAGACTTATTCAGATATATTTCTAAAGAGAAACAAAAACTTGCTTTAGAATAATCTGAGGATCAGAAAGGGACCTTTGGGACAATTTTCAATGCCACTCATATTGTAGATAAAAAAAGAGAGAGCAGAAAGTTCAAAGGACTTTCTGAGGTCCATATGACTTTATGTTATTATTGGCCAAACTTTATAAGAACATTTCTATCAACATTTCTTTTGCACATGAAGGAAACATATCTTGCTTTCTTGACAATTTGTCAATAATGTCTGCAAATCCAAATTCTTAGGGAAACAAAGGTGAGACAATCAGGAATTTGTTTATAATGGAAATCACGATGCACAGCTTGATGGAGCAGGGGTGGGCCTGCTTGGGGTGACGATGCTCTCACCCATCAGGAGCATCATTCCTTTGACATTGGTAACTGAAACCACTTGAATTTTTGATGACGGAATCTAGCCAGATAACAGATGGTTCCCTTTATGAATATGACCTTTTTGAAGGCAATTAGGTTATTTATGCAATAGCAGAATTGTTCATTGTATACAAAAGTCAATCTTCAGAGTAAAAGCTTTTCTAAATTACATATTCTTAAAATAATTTTTTAATTCCTTAATGAATGCTTTTTTCTTGATTCCCATGTGCCAGAATTATTGAATCCACTTTGCTGAAATTTTTAAAGAAAATAACAGTTAGATATGCAAATCCAGTACAAAAATAATTCTATAAAAATTTTTAAACAATCATTCATCAAGGGGGTCATGGTAGATTCAGCATTTTATATTTTCCTTCTACTTCATTCATCACTATGGCTTTGGGTCATACCATAAACATGAAGGACTATTGCCTGGTACTCATATTTAGGAGATGATGAGAGGTATGTTTTGACAACTTAAATTTACTATAAAAATGCAATGCTGCCCTGGCTGGTATGGCTCATTTGGTTAGAGTCTTGTCCAAAATATTGCAGGTTTGATTCCTGGTCAGGTCATATACTAGATTCTAGGTTAGGTCTCAGGTCAAGAGGGGTGTGTGTGAGGGGGGTTATACTGGAGGCAACCAATCAATGTTTATATCTCTTATCAATGTTTCTCTTTCTCTCTCTCTCTACATGCTCTCTCTCTAAAATCAGTGAAAACATATCCTCAGGAGAGGATTTTTAAAAATGCAATGACTATGGAGTACACATAGACAGGGAGGAAGGCACTATGACCTCTGAGTCTTTTGGTAGCCACACCTCCTAGTCCATATCATGGATTTCTAAGAGGCTGGAAGTTAGAGCTGTTACTATATCATCAAGGCTCTTGATATAATATTGGATCAGGAAAAGACTGCTAACTAAGGAAGAAAGTATAATATGAGAACTGGCTCAGGAGAGCAGAAAATAAAAGGCAAAGTATGAATATAATTAGGTTTGTTCTTGTTAGTGATTAGGCAGCCTGATGAAAAAAGGGTTTCTTAGAGCATTTTCCACATTGTCACCAAATTCCATATTTTGGATCTCAGGAAACAAAGAATCACAAATGTTCCTCTTTCATTCACCATTGAAACATTAGGAACTTGGCCGGCCATGCAGTGCTTTGACCGGCTCCCCAGTAATATTTTGGTTATTGGATCTATTTACTATGAATTAAAAATAAATTGTTGATACTGGCTTTTAAAAAAATGAATCAAGTTTTATAGGACTTTAGTTTCCTAACTTACTGGGCACTGTCCATGTCTTTTAAATAAACTTTTAAAGCTTTCATGATAAATTTACAGGAAATGTGAGCTGAAAATGCAGGTCATTAATGTTTGCTTCTCACATCATTTATGCCAATGAGAAGACCAAATTATAGTAATGTTTACCTTAAACTGATAAGAATATTTGCATGCTATATTTAATATAGAATTTAATATTTAATTAAATATAATTAACTTTACATTTCCTATGAAAAACATTATAAGGAATTTAGCATAATAACCAAATTAGGTAGAAAAGTATATTTTAGTGCAAATGTAAAAGGTAATTCACAGATATGGACTTCAATTCCAATTATTTGAGCAGAGAAGATCTATTTTTGTTTAGAAAAAATGGAAAATGTTCTATAATAAATAATCTCTTTTTTTAGTTGTACTAAGGCCAGGTCTGATACCAGAAGAAAATATAAATGTTGACTGATTTTATACCATAAGACAAAATACTGCCATACTCTCTACAACTGAATTCCTAACTATAATTAATAAGATGTTTTTTGTTTTATTGAAATTCTTCATTTTCAACAATATTAAATGCTCATTACTATTAGCAAAAGTAACCGTTTCTTACAGAGCTTAACACTTACCCACAACTTTGGAGTAGCAAGGTTCACAGTGTATTGTCCGTTGATAAATCCAAATACTGTCTCCTGCTCTCAGGTTTTCCAGAGGCCGTTTGCATATTTCACACTAAAGGAAAAGGCAATAAATAAAGTTTACATTGCAAATAAAGTCTAGATTCTTAGTGTAACAGGATAAAAAGCCCTTTCAATTCAGTCAGTACAGTTCTCCAGATTAGCACTCAGGTGCGGCCTCATGAGAATTCACAGAGAAAGTGAGAGTGTGCTTGTCTATAATCCCCATGTAGAACTGTGCATTTCAGGGCATATCTATCATTCAAGTTTCTACTTAACTCACTATAGAGTAGATATAAATTTTAAAAAACTGGTTATGCTAAGGACAAGATCACCAGTTGATATGTCAAACAGAAACACAAAGCATATTTTTTGTTTGCTTATTAAGGAGACCTATGCAATCCAGAATTCAGGAATACACACAGGACATTAAGCAAACATTAAGCAAAACAAATTTCTGTTTGTTCCTCTATACCTTTAAGAGAGTATAGGGAAAAGCTTGTCTTGAGTTGTATTGGTTAGCTTGCTTTAAACCTATGTTCATGGAGCAAATCCCCTGTCCACTGGCTGACTTTCAAGCATGAAGCTATCATCGATTGGTTGGCTCTCAGAAGCCAGTTCATTGAAGCAAATTGTCATTGATTAATTCATATTGTTTAAGCCATTCTACATGATTCTCTATTACCATGGCTATAGAATAATCCATCTTTTTCTAGGAGTGTGGGGACACTTTTATTCTTAGTAGGATTTTATAATTAAGTTGAAAATGAAAATAAATAATCCAAAATACAATAAATGGAAATTATTTGTATTTACCCAAACCAACAAGGAGAATTTTCTTGTTTTAACTTTTTTCTGCATACTAATTTTAAATAAAGAACTATAATCTCTTCTTTTACTGAGTAAATTTTAATAACTAAAAGGAAATTCCATTTTCTCATCATTAAACAATTATAAAATTTTCAGAATATATTTAAATAGTATTCTATATAATGTGGCCTAAAATTAGATTTTTGTTTTGTTGTTCATAACTAAGCTTCTTATTTGTGATTGCTATGTATCACTGAAGCTACTTGGAGGAGAAACAATTAGTTGTCAAAGCATTATAGCTACTTGACTGAATTAGATAATTTCCATCAACCCATAGAATGTCAACACAAAAAGAACCCCTAGAGTTAGGCAAATAGTTCTCAAACTGGCTTCCCATTAGATTTACCAATGCCCAGAAATCATCTCTGAGAGTCTTGATTTAATTAGTGCTGGTCCCAAGCATTCTATTTTTCTTCTAACCTCCCAGATGATTTTAATGTACAGTCATTAGTCTTGTCAGCTTCTTAATTTTTACAGATGATAAAACTGAGGCCAGGTTAAGTTGGGTGATTGTCCAGAAGTCACATAACCATAGTTAGAGTGACAGAGTTAGAAAACTTGAACTCAGATCTTTAGATTCCAGTTCAGTGCTCATCCAGTTACACCAAAAACTAAGATGTTGCAGAAACCGGTTTGGCTCAGTGGTAGAGCGTGGGTCTGTGGACTGAAAGGTCCTGGGTTCAATTCCGGTCCGGGGCATGTACATTGGTTGCGGGCACATCCCCAGTAGGGGGTGTGCGAGAGGCAGCTGGTCGATGTTTCTCTTTCATCGACATTTCTAGCTCTCTACCTCTCTCCCTTCCTCTCTGTAAAAAATCAATAAAACAGTGAAAATAAACTCACTATTAAAAAAACAAAACTAAGATGTTAACCTACTCAATGTTATTTTGAGATATAAAAGCAATGCAATATGAAAATATAAACTGAAGCATTCTACTATGTAAGCTTCATCACTATTATACTGAGCCACAATTAACTATCATTAATCGTGCTCTCAAAAGCAGACTGAGTTTCAACTGCTATTAAGCTTATCAGTGCTAACTGATAGCACTCATAAGAAGCTGCTGGCTTTCTTCTCAACAAATTCCTTTCCTTTCTGCACTTCATTATATATTTTATGCAATGCATGATTTATTAAAATGTTGCAAAAACTTTTATAAAGACAACAAGTGTTTATCTTTTCATAGGTTTAAATCTCTAGAGTCTGAGGAATAAATGTTTCAGTAATCAACTCTAAGCCTAACGCCAAGACAGTAATTGAAAACCGTAGAGGTTAGGCTGAAGAAGTCTGAGAAATACTTAAGCAGTGCATTATTAATGTGGATGAGAGTGTTTCTGAAAGCTTTAACTCCATCTCATGTATTTCATTAAATAATTATTTTTATTCCAGGCATTATGCAATTTTATATTTAGTTAAATACAATAAACATATCCTTACCTTGAAGCAAGTGGAATGGCAGCAAATTTGTAATTCATCTAAAATCATTTTGGTTTTTGTGCCCAAGGGCTTTCGGCAGTAGGTGCACATATCTCTTTCAATGACAGACCTAGGGAGATATTAGCAATTAAAATAAATTTGTCATCCTACAAAAGACAGAGTTATTCCCCATAAAGTCATGTGGAAATGATGTTAATTTGTTGATACTTTAGGAAACTGTAAACATTGAGGAAAGTTTTAGATTTTACTTATTTTAGTGATAGAATTGATTCTTCTAGTTTCCTCAAAATAACATCAAAGAGTTAACACAAAGGAAGGTCTCAAATTATTAATTTATTAGCAATCAAAAGTATATGTGGGCAGGGCAAAGATAATTACAGTTTCCTAATTGAACTAATTCATAAGTACCCCTTGAAGCTCAAAGAGGATTTTGACTTATTAATTTATATATATCATAGAAAAATTATACTATACATTAATATAAAATTTTTACTCTCAAAACATTCAAAAGGACAAAATAGAACTTCATTCAAGAGTGTGTTGGTAATAAATTAATAAATGATGGATCCCTAGGACTCTAGGGTATAGGGTCTAGTCATTAAAATGCTCTCCTGTGACACTACTCTTGGTATCATTAAAAGACAGAATACTGGGCTACATTTTATGACAAAATTTATATTCTTCAATATGATACAACACTCCTGCACACACAAATTTGATGAAGAAAATACCATTTTATTATTTACTTTGGAAAAATAATGTTTAATAATAAATGAACTATACATATTTATTCAGCAAGTCCAAAAAGACCTTAAATCACAGCAGAGCCTTAAGAAAAGCCAATAACTATGTGATGCTTTTCCTTTTGGAGGGTCTTAGAACTGTCTTAAAAGTACCTTGAGGACTTTACTAGTTTCAGGGTTGTTGGCATGCAGGCCTGAAATTTCCAGAGCTGGTATAAAATGGAGTGGTAAAATAAAATCAGTTTATACTTATATGGTGCTAAAATGCTTATGTACAGTATATTTTCTATGCACTTTGCTTATTTAAGCTCAGTTATTCTTCACATCTCTGAGAAGCAGATGCTATTCTTTTTATCATCATTTACAGAAGAGTAAACTGAGGCACAGAAGGGTGCCTGCCAGACAGTGAGTGAGTAGCAGAGGTAGGGTTTGAGCAAGGCCACATGGCCCCAGGGTCCCTGGGCTGCCTTTGGGCCTGCCCATGAGGACTGCTGGGCTCACAATTTTGAAATGAATGAGTCATACCCATGAGCCAGGATGATCCTGTCATCTAGCCCAGGACTAGAATCAGAGAGGAGGGAAATGAAAAGGAGAAGGAGGTGGAGAGGAAAAGGGTTGGAGTAGATAACCTTGCTTTACACGTTCAGCCAGTCAAGCAACCTCTTCCTAAACCTTATGTATAGAAATAAAAACTTGCTCTTTCATCTCACTCTCTAGCTTCTTGCTTATATAATCCTGGCAAATATTTTCCTATGGACTCTACACATATGTATACACACTTCATGTCCCATGCAAGCACTTCAATAATAGAAGACAGGCATGCTCTATCATCCATCCATTCCAGAGGCACTGAGCTAGGAGCTGGGACTATAAAGAAGAGTGAGACAGTCTCCTCCAACAAGAAGCTTCCTGTCCACAGGGGTAGCTAGATGCATGCCTAGATGATCTCAGCATAGTATGGAAGTGTGGAAAGAGTTAGGAGAGAATAGCCAAGGGAGCAACTAATTCCAGGTGAAGGCAAGAAAGGCTTGTGGAAAAGTATCATGTGACTTACAGCTTGAGGAAGAAGGAGCCTGCTAGGTGAGCTCAGTGAGTTGGGGCGGGGCATGATAGGGGATTCCAAGCAGAGTGACCAGGTTGTACCAAAGTGCTACTCAATGAGGGTGTCTGGAGTGATTAAACAGTAGGCAATATGCAGAAGCAGGTTCTGAAGGCCATAAATAATGTGCAGAGGAGTTTGCCTTAATCCTGTGAAGTGGGAAGCCACTTTAAGTGGGATTAGTGTGCTTCGATAAGAACTGTGGGGACATGGCTCATGCCACACAATAATCGACATAAAAAAGTTGCTGGACTCACTGGTTTTAATAGAAAATTGACTTCTGCTTTCATGTCTGAGAAAAAAAAATTCAAGGACTCTGAATTTCAAGGACTGAAATTCTTCATATTAAGAGCAATACTTCTATGAAGAATATTTTCCTTCCTTAAGTTAACACTAAAGCTCTGAGCCCAGGGAAAGCTCCAATGTTGGTATTGTCCTTATTAAAATCACCCTGTTAGTCAAAGGTGTTTCCTAAGTATGTGAGGGATCCAGCTCTGGTATTTGATCACTATATCTTACGCTTGGGTAGATTTCACCCTTCAAAGAGCAATGACTTATAGTTAAGACACTCAGAGAGCATTAGTAATGAACAAATTTTTATAAAAACGACAAAGGGGACATAATATTTATTTTGTTGTTAATCCTCACACAAGGATACTTTTCCATTGATTTTTGGAGAGAGTGGAAAGGAGGGGGAGAGTCAGAGAGAGAAACATCAATGTGAGAGAGAGACATCAATTGGTTGCCTCCCACATGCTTCCCAACCAGGGCTGGGGATTGAGCCTGCAACTGAGGTCCAGAGACGGCAACTGAGGTCTGTGCCCTTGACTGGAACCAAAAATCAGGACCCTTCGGTCCACAGGCCAACAATGCTCTACCTATTAAACAAAACTGGCTAGGGCAGGAGATACAATTTTGATTTCTGGTCCATCCATATTTCCCTTAGCAAACAGACCATAGGTTCATGTTTTTCAGAAAACATTATTGCCCTTGCCGGTTTTGCTCAGTGGGTAGAACGCTGGCCTGCAGAACGAAAGGTCCCAGGTTCAGTTTTGGTCAAGGGCATGTAGCTTGGTTGCAGGCTCCGCCCCAGCCTCAGTCAGGGCTCGTGCAAGAGGCAACCAATAGATGTGTTTCTCTCACACTGATGTTTCTCTCTGTTTCCCCCTTTGTCTTCCACTCTTCCTAAAAATCAGTGGAAAAATATCCTCGAGTGAGGACAAACAAAACAGGAAACATTTATTGAGTAACTGGTCAGGGACAAGCACCTCATTACAAATTGTGCATAAAAGTTAGATATGTCTTTACTCACAATGAGCCTTATTCCCAGAGAATAGAGAAACACTGTCAGCAGAACATCAGACATTTGCATTATAGCTGGTTTCTAGTGGTTGGGAAATCATGCTAATTATTTATTTTCATTACTTCCACTGGCAATCTGCTGGCCACACTCTCATGAGGGTCATCTCTGAGCCCCACTGAGCATTAAATGTTAAAAGATGATCACTAACAGCAAAAGCCTGAGGTCGGTTTACCATCACAAAACTGATACTCATTGTAACCCCTCCTGGGATTACGATGTGGATCTGAGTGTGGGCCCAGAGTGGGTCATGGCCGTATCCACGCAGCTGTCGGTAAGGTGAGATGGCTTTAGAAAACCGCACCGAGGGAGGGCTGAGGGCATAGTCTATGATGCAATGAGATCTAGACTCTCATATGTGGTGGTACTGGGGCTCGTGGGAGTCAGCAAAGCAGAGGGGCTGGCCTTGGGGGGAGGGCAGCTGTAAGGCACAGAAGCTCTATTGGAATAAAATGCATTAGCAACAGCCCAGAAGCCAAGGAACCAATTCCTGGGTGCAGAGGTTGTAGTACTTCACACACAGGCTGGGGCAAAAGTAGTTTTACAGACCTTCGTATGGGAAATAATACAAGAATTAATAAATAATAATATAATAATAAATTCTGTTTCACATACTCAAAACTGTAGCCTACTTTAGCCCCACCCTGTGTATAACAATCACCATCAGGAGCACCATCTCCAAGTACAACAGACAACAAGAATGTATGTGTATAAAACATACACAGGTGTGTGTGCACAGAATTTTATGTCTGGAAATACAGACATACTTACCTATCTGAAGTTGAGTAAACAGTTTGTATGTATTTCCCAGAAATGTTCTCCTGGTAGCCATCCTTTGGGGATTTACTACAAACAACACATATGGACACATGAGAACTGGACTATTTCTTTAGTGTTAATGTATATACCTGTAGACAGGTGAGAAAGCACACACACCTCCTCACACAGCCTTATTGCTATTTTTTTGTGATGTACAAGTCAAGTTAGGATGTCCTAATGCCTTTTTTTAAATCAGGAGAAATATTGATACACAGCCATCTCCAAGTTCACATAGAGAATGAGGCAAGAGTGCACAGCAAAGTATGCCATTTTTCATGAAATTTATGCTTGCACCTTTTCCACTTATATACCACAAGAAAGGTACATGGAGTCTAACATAAAGGAAATGCATAAAGTGAGAGCCAGTGCAAGCACAGGCACATGTACATCGCTCACATGGAAAACTAGAGACGTTTCAACTTTTACACAAGCTATAGAAGATTTTATTTTTACTTGAATACATCCAAGAAAGATTAGTTTAGTGTGAAAGAAAAAAAAAAGCATAATTTTTAAAAGTCCTCCATGTTTCATTTCTTAGGTGGCTTCAGTTTTTTAAATGTCACTCTTTCTTCGAGACAAATGAAATCTGTAGTACACTAACCAACTGGCTGCTCATAATTGCTTCCCAGGCACATATGTTACCTGTGCACATATTAGGAATGGAAGCAATATGCTCCTTGTGTGAGCAATACTCTACTGCCCTCCCTTGGGATTTTTTTAAATGAGAAAACTCTCTTTCCCTCCCAATTGCCCATAGGCAGACTGCTGTCAGAAATATAATCTATATTATGGAACATATAACCCACAATGCTAAATAAGAGTATGCACATATTTTGCATGACATATATCATTACTACCATTTTAATGATCGAGAAACTGAGACTTGAAGTGGTTAAGCAGGTTTGCCAAGGCACATGTCTGTAAATGACAAAGATGCAATCCCAAGTCTAATTCCGGGGCCTCAGCACTGCACTGTGCCATCAGTGTACACTTTAGGGAAAATTGGATTCATCAGAAAAATCAGATTTCACGTTCTGACACTGAATGGACTGAATTTCCTTGAGTCTCCTTCCCCCCAAAGCCCTCCTAGATGCTCTGCCCTTTGGTTTCTTTGAAATGGACTCTGATTAACACATGTCACCTATACCTGCATTTGCATGCCCCACCATTACATTACCCCACAATTAGATTAATTCTTGTTTTTATTCTCCTTGAAAATCAAATGCACATGTCACTGGCCTTGGTTGATGTTTTCCTCAACATCCATCACACAACCAGCAGATTTTGTGAGACAACAATTTCCTGGAATTTGGGTCAGAGTATATCTACCAAAAAGTATCCCCCTTATTTCAGATAAATGGCAAACAACAGTGGGTACTAACATTTAATTAAAGTTCAAGTCCAAATTAGCATAGAAATTCTTGTGCCATTTTATGAAGCTAATTATAAATAAATAGTTATATTCTCATATAAACGTATATTAAAACTTTCAAATGACTTCCTGTTGTGTATACATATGCTATATTAAATTGTTAGTCTACCAAATAACTTTTTATGATTGATAACTACTTAATATTAGAAACATTATGAAGAATTATATACCTAGAATCCAATGAACTGTTAGTCTTCTATTTGAAAAAATATATATAAATACACTCTAAAATAATACCATTTCTTCTTAAATATAGACTATTACAAAATTGTAAGTATAGAAAAATATTTTAAAAATAAACTTCCAGCACCTGTTCTCCACATATGTCCTCGTGTACACAACGGTATCCTTTGGTCCTGCAGGCCTGGTGTCAGCATTGGAACTGGAAAAAAAATATTAACTTTATATTTAAAGTTTATGTACAAGAATAATAAAAAACAAAGTCATTATTCAATTCAATGCAAAAAATACTATATTACTTCTAAACTATTACCTTTGAAATATAAACATTAAACTAGAATTAATTTATTTCTACAAAATTTCCCACGTCTCCCATTTCATTCCTGCCTTCCACTGGCTTGGCCTTCTTCTAAAATAGTAATATGAAAATTGGTCACTCACTAAATCTGTTGTAGAGCATGAAGATGATTTTGAGTATCTGTGCCCTATTTTTTAGTGTCTTTCATGGGACGTTTAGTTTCCCTGATGTTCCATTCATCTTTCCAAACCATACTTGTCCCCTAAATCCCAAACAAAAATAGACCTTAACTAAACATAACATCTGACTTTAATGAAACTTTTAAATCTAGCTAAAGAATGTCAATACTAATATCACAATCATGCTTTAAATAAAAAACAACAAAACACACCACACTGTAGATATTTTAGGGAAAAATTACATTTTACACCTTCTTATCCAGATGTCACAATTTACCAAGGACCAAGTTGCTAACTCAACACCTTTGTGAAAGCCTTTTTAGCCACTAATAAAATGAGAAATTTCTGCATTTGAAAAGAAGGGTCAGGTTGTATATGAGATGTTTATTAAAAACAAAAGAAGAATAGTCCTGTCATTTGCTTTATGATTGACCATGATACTACCTGAAATTCTTCCTCTCTTCATAAGAATGGGTAGTCGTTCCTGTGGACCTGTTGTTGGAAGCATCAGTCAGTCCATTGACTTGGCCTTCTAGCCTGAGAAAGCAAACAAATGTTTGCCACTTAAAAATCAAAACCACTTAGAATTGTTCTTATTTTAATTTTTTAAAATTTTATTAAAATTCTGTTCAAGTTACAGGAACCCATATATGTTTGCTGGATTTCTGCACAGGTACACAGGCAGAATACATGTCCTGTTTTACTTATTTACAGAAACCACCTTAAAAAATAATCTTTCGGCATATGACACATTATCTAGTACTAGGATGGAATACTTTTTATTAAGGGCAGGGACCACCTGAAGTTGGTACTGGTAACGTTTTCACAGCAGCAGTGCCATTTTAGAAAGCTTTTAATGTACAATATATCTGAGAGTTTATCAAATTAGTGAAAATCATCCAGAGGTTGCTTATAGAAATTCCAGTTTTCATTTTATTTTTAATGGAAAGCAATACTTAAAAGATTGTAGAACTTTGACTTAGATTTCTGCTGAACTCAAAGTGTCACCATGCTTAACAAAGTATAAGCATATTTGCTTTTTCCTATAAAAAAGAGAAAAATTCTACTGCAAAAATAGTGAAAGGTTTAGCTCCTTATTCTCCTCCATGTTAGTAAACTCCAATATAGAAATGACATGAAAACCAAAAGGAAAGTTTAGCTGCCTCCTGCACACCCCACACTGGGGGATGAGCCTGCAACCTGGGCATGTGCCCTGACCAGGAATCTAACTGCATCTTCCTGGCTCATAAGAAGATATTCAACCACAGAGCCACTCTGGCCAGGTGATGCAATTGAAAATTTATTCTTTCATTTTATCAAAGGTTTCCTTGATACAAATAAGGAAGGAAGGAAGGAAGGAAGGAAGGAAGGAAGGAAGGAAGGAAGGAAGGAAGGAAGGAAGGAAGGAAGGAAGATTTGGGGAGCTAAGAGAACAGAAAAACTATCTGTTAGATGCAAGAGCCTTCTATACAATTGAGTGGGGCAGGGGGGCATCTATTCCCCTATTTTCTTGGGCAAGTTTCACAACCTATCTAAGCTTCCTTTTGTAAATGAGGATAATAAAGTCTAATCTTATAGGGTTGCAGTGAGAACAGATGAGTTAATGTAAATAAAATTTGTGGGCAGAATGGCTACAATTGTAGGTGAGCTGAATAAACATAAATGATAGTTAAGAGAATTATAGTTATTTATAGTATATCTATAAATATAGGAGGAGGAATAAGTAACCTGCCTCTTTTCCTGATTTTATATTCTCTTGCACAAAATATCAACAATATCACTTCTTTAGATTAAAAAAACTTTTAAACAGAAAAGGCAGCTGCACCTTAGGAAGATATAAAATAGGACCCTATTGTTTTTAGGGATATATATATAAAAGATTTGCTACCATAAAATAATTTTTTTATTCTTTCCTAATTTAAATAGTCTGCAACAACAATAAGGTATAGTTTCTACTCAAGCCCTCCTATAAAAGCAACCAAGGTACAATAGTTTTAAAGCCATTATACTGTGTGGTATAAAGAAATATACTGTTTTGTGGCTGTGATGAATTTGTGTATTCTTTTAGCACCAAGCATCCAAAGAAAATAATCTCAGTGTGTTTTCTGCACCACTGAAAAATCTACCAAGCAACAGTAAGTAAAAATAAGTCTTCACAGGCCAAGTGCAGAGATTTGAATTTTCATGATGCCTTTTATACTAAGCAATAGAACAGCAGGCTTTTAGTCAGAAATTTTAACAGAATTTGAATTGTAATAATTTTTCCTATATCAGCTTATTAATCACCTTGTACATTGTCCTGTGTTGAGATAGTATTTATACTTAAATACCATACTATAGTGCAATTCTTTAGAAAACATTCCAAGTTTACATAATTAATGCAGGCTCAGATAGAATTCATAAAATAAAAGTAAATTCAATTAAGCCTTACCTTCCATTCTTATTTTTGGGTACATTAGATTTTAGTTCAACTAAATTTTCCAGGTCCCGATCTCTATAGAAAAAAATTAATTATATATAGTTACGATATAATTTTAGGAAATAAAAAACAAACAGAATAAAAACTTTAAAAATCAGTACACAATCTTAGACATAGATACTATGGTATAAAGCTATGGGACATTGAAAATCTGACATTGAGCTGTTAATCTCTATAACTCAAGGATGAGAGCATGATATTATGAGACAAAGAACTAATCTTTGGAAGGTTTGAGAAATCTGGTCTGAAAAGAAACAACTGATTGATATTCACAAATTCGGTGAATATTCAATGAGTACCACTTTGTGTCACAAAGTATAATACTAATTGCGTATTTCCATATGGATTATCTCATTCAGATCTCACAAAATCTTGCAGGACAGCATCTGGGGCTCAGAAAGGCTAAGTGAATTCTCCAAGGTCAATTAACTAATTTGTAAAAGAGTCAAGATTTGAGGCTGAGCCACCTGTCCTTCTGAAATCAATTCTTGGCTATTTAATTAGAGACTTCATTCCAACTTTTTGGATTACAGAAACATGAAAAATCAACATAAAATTGAATCAATAATTCATAATGTGCAGGATAAATGGGACAATTAGAATCTTAAATCTTGGGCTACATTTATGATTTGACACACTTTCATAAGATACAATAAATATCCTGTGATATGTTATTTATATATTAGTTATTTATAATATATCTTTACTTTAACTCTGATAATTCTTAACTCTTCCCCTCCCCACCTCCCCATGAGTTTGGAAAAGCCTTTGTCATGAACTTTGTTGGTTAGGAACATAGTTTAAGAGTTTGAGTGTCCTGGGTTGCAAGCTTGATCCCAGTGTGGGGTGTGCAGGAGTCAGCCAATCAATGATTCTCTCTTATCATTGATGTTTCTATCTCTCCCTTTCCCTTCCTCTCTGAACTCAGTAAGAAATATATATATTTTAAAAAGAGTAAAAGTGAGGCCACCTATTCTCCTATTTTCTTGGGCAAGTTTTACAACCTATCTAAGCTTCCTTTTGTAAATGAGAATAATAAAATCTAATCTTATAGGGTTGCAGTGAGAACAGATGAGTTAATGTAAATAAAATTTGTGGGTACAGTGACTACAATTGTAGGTGAACTGAATAAGCATAGGTAAATGATAATTAAGAGTATTGTAGTTATTTTCAGTATATTTGTGCTAAAACACTGATAGTAGGTGTAATTGATTCCAAAATTTTGAGGACTGCTGTTTTATTTTTCTCTTTCTTTTAAATTTTCACATCTTTAGAATTTCAGCTTTTGTAAATCTCCCTTCTGATCCTGAATAGTACACTTAAAAAAGGTTATTTTACATGGAATCAGTATAAGGACTCTCACTCACAAAATTAATATTTATATGGATGAAAAATAATATTCAAAAATTATCTTATATATGAAATAAGATTTAATATTTTTTTTATAACACCCAACCATTGATAATTGATAAATCTGCAAGTTAGTCAACATTCCTTAGCTACACTTAACCCTCACATTTAAAATCCTAACTGCACATTTTTAATAGGAAATATGCCAATTAATATATGTAAAATATATAGGATTTCAACAGAAATCTCTCAGAAATATCAAAATCATTTGACTCTGCAGCTTGAATATATGAAATTTAAAAAATTACTTCCTCAACATAACTGCTTAGTACTATATAAGAAAACCTCCTAGATTACGTCCTTCAGATTCAGCAATGGAGACCAAAGACTTTGCATTTGCCTAACCCCTGATGCTCCCTCACTACTTCCTACTGCCACCTTATTGGCCTCTGGGGCCATTGTACTATCTTAATAGCGTAGACATGAAGTGATTATCCCCTTAATGTTTTTAAATAACACTTCACTAAATATTTGGGGATAATGGAATAAAAAAGTGGGGTATCATGGAATTCCATAACCCAGCTTCCTACAAATGCCTACACCATAGTTAGTAGTGAGAGATCACCAGGAAATGTGAATCTTGAGAAATAAGAATTTTGACCTGGAAAGTGGTTCTCTGCTAACCGTGGATGAACTGAGAACCTTTCTCATTGCAACTTGAGAGCAGAGACACATGGCCATGACCTTATTCCTTATTTTGGGATGTTGTTATAAATTGGATAATGAGCCATTATGTTGAAGTCCTAATGACATTATGTTAGAATGTGACTTTATTTGGAGATAGGGTCATTACAAATATAATCAAGTTCAAATGAAGTATAAGGATGGGCCCTAATTCAGTATGACTGGTATCCTTATAAGAAGGTGAAATTTAGACTTAGACACACACAGATGGAAGGCATTGTGAAGACACAGGGTGAAGACAGTCTTCTATAAGTCAAAGAGAGGGACCTAGAACAGATCCTTCCATCATGGCCTTCAGAAGGAACCAACTCTACTGACACTTTGATCTTGGACTTCCAACCTCCAAAACTGTTAGAAAACAAATTTCTGTTTTAAACTATCTAGTCTGTGGTTCTGGTTGTAGCAGCCCTAGGGAAACTAACACAGGTCTGCTTCTGCCCTCACAACATGATTAGGTTTACTTTCTCAGCCCGATGGTGGGCATCCTCACTTTCTCCAGCATTTTTTACTCCTGCCTGTTGCAGGTACTGTGTTTTCTTCTCCACCCCCACTTCCCACCACCACTTTCTCCACCTCCTCCTACGCTTTTCCCATTCCCTGACCCCAAGTCTGTTTGGACCCTAGCTATTGTGATGGAGAATGGGAATGGATTTGAACCTGAGGAAAGAAAAGAAAACAGAATCTTACAAATGCAATAATTATAAATAGATAATTCAAAATTGGCACCTATGCATGCCTTCAAAGAACATTCCCAAAGTGACCTCAGACTGAATCACTGAATAAACCATAGTATTAGTGGAGTTTTCAATAAGCAGTGTCACATATCAATTTGGTAGGGTGTAATATAAGATTTTATTCTGAATAGTCTACACTAATATTTAAAGCAAAATAAAAAGTTCTAGATTATGTGAAGTATAAAATGTGTATCTGCTTTGATTGTTCACCCTGATTGATGTCATTAGCTAGATTTGAAGATCCGGTAAAAGAAGTTCAGATTGCCCATAAACTTCTCAAGCTGAAGGATATAAAAATAAATTTCATTCTTTAATTAAGACCACATCTATTGCATGGTGTCTTTTACACTGTGGTAGAAGATGAAAAGCTGTGAGTCAAAGTGTGAAAAAAAGATTTTTATAGAAGCCTAGCCAAGTGCTTCAGGGTTGAGCAAAGGCTTAATTCCAAACCCTTCCTGTGTCAGTTGCACTTTATAATTGAATAGTTTATGAGCAGCTGGAATTAACTCAAAGAAAAACTATCACTTCTCTATGGATACAGTGAGAAATACTAAAAAGAAATTTTGTTAACCATAGCAACTAATAATGCTTTTCTTTATGTAGATTTCAAATGTTTGGGAGAAAGTATTAGTTGTCTATTATATAGAGCCATAGCATAAATTTCATATATAAGCATTTATCTATGTTGTCATTATGTAATTTATTTTCCACTGTACATTATAGAGCAGATTAAGGGGAAAATAGAAATTTGGGGGACCACAATAGTATTGTCTCATTTTATAAATTAATGTTATTTAATAATATAATACAATTTTCAAGGACAAATTCTATAATTCATCATCTGTATATTGCATTGTGTGCTCACCACCCAAAGTCTAGCTTCGTTCCATCACCCTATATTTGATCCCCTTTAATTATGATCTCTTACTAGACAATTTTTTCTAGGATAAGCATTATATGAGAGAAAGTTATCAGCTCACTCCCAACTGCTCTTCCTCTCCCATGAGACATGAGAGGTAGTTATTAAAAGCCTCAATATGTTTCTCTCTCTTCAGCTTACTTAAATTGCTTTCATAGAATATCAAACACATTTGCAAAATTAATAGTCTCCATATAAAAGTTTTATTATGGTACTTCTTTCATGCCAAGAACTAAATCTTAGGCTTTAACTTTGGTGCAAAAGGAAAATTTGTCTCTCTGAAAGGAGTATAGAATACAGTGAGATAACCATATTATTCTTCAACTCTGTTGACACCTCCAAATGGGCCCAGCTTTATGTATTTTTACCACTCTTTTTAATTATGGAGTCATAAAGATTATATATTAAAGAAGTTGACAGTTCCATAAAGAATTGGAAATTTTAGATATTTTAAATATAAGATGTGACCAAGAATGTTAATGGCTCTAATTCACCATGGTTCACTGGGATTATGCCATGACCAGCAGATGATCGCTGGCTAAAGGAGATCACTTAGAAGACACCAGATTTCTTCATTCTGGTTTCACTCCGGGGGCTCAGAATGTTAGAACTGGAAAGCAATAGACTTTATCTAGGAGGTGAGAAGGATTATAGGGATTGATTAGTTTGAGATTTAACCTCTAATTGACAGTTGTTAAGCACCTAATATGAGCTATGCATTGTTCAATGCACTGTAGATAAAGAAGTGAAAAAGATACTCAATATTACCATTAAACATCCTCTAGTTGAAGAGAGATGATTAAGTAACCACTCCCTCTAAGAGGCAAATGCTATGGGACAGAGAGGATAGAGATTTTTGAGAACATCTAGAAGGACCTGATATAGATATGATGGCAGAGGGTGGGGCCTTCCAGAGCTGGAGAGATTGATGCCTAACTGAGACCTGATGGATAAACAGAAGTTTACCACACAATAGCCATGAAGAAGGACTGACGAGTGTGGGTAAGTTAGGGTATGTGGGTGGAACGTAATAGAGGATGTGGTGAAAAGGCTGTGGAGGCAGGATGGGATGGGCTTTGGAAAGCAGGTTAAGTATGGACATTATCCAATGGCAATGACAATGGGAAGCCATTTAATCAGAAGAATGAGATGAACAGATTGGTGTTTTAGAAAAAACACTCTATAATGTGGCCAATGGATTGCAGGGTAGAAAGTAAGACAGGAAGCTGAGGAATTAGTTAGGAGACTGTCTAACATAGACTATAGTAGTCATAGGGATGCTGAAATATCTCAGTTCCTGAGATAATTAGAAGCTTCCAAAGGACCTATTGATTAAGGGGAATGAAGCAATGGAAAGAGTCAGTGTCACCCTATCCCCAACCCGTTAGCTTTCTGACTTGAGAGCAGAAATATGGGAAATGTAAAATAGGATGGAGCTCTTGTTGGAATACTGAAAACGTGGAGGTATGTCTCAGCAAATGGGAAGTCCTTAAAATAATGGAAGGATGATACTTCCAATAGTTCAAATTATTTTTTCTAACTGTAAAGGCCTAAATGTCACGAGATGCTTTTCAACCTTCATTTGGGAGCCGTAGTTTACAGGCTACAAATAATTGAATATCTCCCTTCAGTATCTCTTATTTCATGAAGATATGAAACTGTCACCGCTAAGAGCCTGCAGTTTCTCCTTGAATCGATGAAAATTCCGTGCACATCTGCATTTGTTCTGGTTGCTGTGTTTTTAGAAGGAGCTCAGGGACACCTGCTTACATTCTGAGCAACGGCTGAAGTTTATTCTGCCCCTGACTGTGAATTAAAGATACAGCTGTTGGAAATGTCAGCAAAATCCCACAAAGAGAACTCTGATTCACTGCAGTTACACTATTGAGTAATCAGTGTTCACGTCACATTGCATTGGATGTGAAAGTGCCTTGTGGCTGTTATCCCCACTGGGAGCACCTTAAAATGACTCCTCTCCCTTTAGCCACTAAAATCAAGCAGCCAGCATAAATACATTCTAGATACAGGAGGCTGAACTGACTGAATGAAGTCACTTTTTTCAAATAGGCAGCTTAGTCATCCTTGCTCAGCTATTTTGAGAAAATCCTTGAACAACCAAGCTGATTACTGTCAAATCTGGTATAAATACTAAAGAATCCTCAGATATCAGCTTAGGTTACATTTGTGGATCAAGCTGCCATTTGAAAACAACACGAAGGCCAATATATTTTTTTAATTATAGAAATCCTACCTATGTAAGAATAATGTATTATTTTTATAGATATTTTTATCAGGAGTTGCTGATAGAAAGCATACTTTTATAAAATTAGACTCTTCTAATAAAAGGCAAAAATCTTATGAGAAAGTTACCATGGTCTGACAACATAGTACATTTGCTAGAAGGAGAGGGGGAAGGAGAAGAAAGTTAGAAGGAAGAGGTGAGGGAGAAATGGATAGAGGGAGGAGGAAGGAAGGGAGGAGAAGGAAGGCAGGAGAAAGGAGGGAGGGAGAGAATGAAGGAAAGAAGAAGGGAGGGAGGGAAGAGAGAAAGAGAACATTTTATGGAATGGCCCACTAACAGAAGAGTTTGCTATAGTAGCCACATGTGGTTATTAAACCTAATCACTCCTAAAACTGTTACTAATAAAAAGAAAATCTGCCACAACCAGTACACTATGAAGAAATGGTTCTACTTAAGGAAGATATTTTCATATGATTTTCAGTGGCAGAAGCAACACCAAAAGTCTGCTGGTATTTCAGCTGCTAGAAAAACTCTGTGAGACAGTACTTTCTCTCCCCCCTCTCATTTTAACAATAACTTTCTAGAATACATGTTTCTGATTGTAGTTTTTTTAATTGCAGAGGTAGAAAGGGAACAAAAGGGAAGGGATTGTACAGAGTGTAAAGAATTAAAAGAGAAGGAGACACAGCCATTTTAGCCAGAACTTTTGTTTTTCTTGCCGATAGTGATGTCACAGGGACCTGAGTTTAGGTCAATAATGTGTTTTCACATCTTTGAGCTATAGCTTCCTCTTTGATAGCGTAGGGTGAATGAATATATTTCTCATGGGGTTGTTGTAAGGATTAAATGCGTATAAATTGCCAGTTACATAGCAGATGCCCAATAAATGCTACTCCGTAAGTAGCAACTGCCTTTGTACCTTCCTGCTTCAGAAGCCCCCACAACAGATAAAAATATATAGACAGAAAAAGTGGGGAAAAAGCATTAACGTTGCCAAAACCGGTTTGGCTCAATGGTAGAGCGTCGGCTTGGGGACTGAAGGGACCCGGGTTTGATTCCGGTCAAGGGCATGTACCTTGGTTGCGGGCATATCCCCAGTAGGGGGTGTGCAAGAGGCAGCTGATCGATGACTCTCTCATCGATGTTTCTAACTCTCTATCTCTCTCCCTTCCTCTCTGTACAAAATCAATAAAATAAATAAAAAATACTTTAAAAAAAAGCATTAATGTTGAAAACAAACTAGGAGACATCTAGATCAATGAGAATATGGCCCTGTCTGTCCTCTTTCTCCCATTGGATTAAAGCACTTTTCCGTGTCCGAATTGCTTTGTTCCCCACAGAAGATTGAGACTATGATTCTTACCTATATGTTTCTTCTGATAAAATTTCAGGTCAGTAGAATACTCTGGACCTCTAATGCACTGTGATGCATTATCTATTAACTATTAATGAAGTCCTTTAGGTGAATGATATGACATAAAGCAGATGAACAATAAAATGTTTGAAGAACTCAAATGAAAGCTCAAGGCTAAAATCTGCTCTCATATTGAGAGCTGTGGATCTGTAATTTCAAAGACCCTGAATAGTCTTTCGGATCTCAGAAGGTATCTATGTGAACCATAAGTTTGGCTCAGCTCCCCAAAACACTTTTTCTTACTTAATTTCACTCATTTTTCATTCCAGTTCTGACAGTCTGTTTCCTAAATATAACAAAAACCACATTGTCTTGGTGCAATTAAAAAATACAGAACTGAGTCTAAAACACTACATTGATTCCAAAAGGGTACAACATGTTTCCTCGCTGAACAGTAGACACCTGGGTTATAGATGTGTCCCCGTTTGACACTAAAGAAAAATAAAAGCCTTCAAGAAAGAAAGGCAAGATGAGGAAAGAAAAGAAAGAAAATAGCTAACCCAGAACCTTAAGAGCATGTCATGATAGTCAGGCAAAGTCACTAACCGCGCCGTGTTCCTGAGAGCGGACGGTTTCACTTTAATAAGATTGTCCAAGTCTTGGCTATTCAAAAGAAAAAAAAAATTAAGTTCAAGTTAGTGACGGATATTTGGTGGTACTAGTTCAATAACCCATTGCACCCTGGAACCGTGGTCAGCAAACTGAGGCTCTCAAGTCACATGCTGCTCTTTGGCCCCTTGAGTGTGGCTCTTCCACAAAATACCACAGTCTGGGCGAAGAAGTGATGTTAGAAGAAGTTATTTTGAAGAAGTAGCATTAGAAAAAGTTTAAGTTTAAAAATTTGGCTCTCAAAAGAAATTTCAATCATTGTACTGTTGATATTTGGCTCTGTTGACTAATAAGTTTGCTGACCACTGCCTGGGACAACAGACTCATGAAAGCATGATATGATGGATTTTATGTGATCACCTCTGACTGCTTCGGACCGCTTCAGGGTTCACTCTGATGAGGGTATCCAGATCCTGGTTTCTTTAGAGAAAAATAAAAAGATTGCAGATTAATGAGAAGGTTCCTTTGATAAGATCATAAAGGTTACAAATCTGCTTAGAGAACTGATAAGACAAAATAGTCTTCCAGATAAAGCACAAAAATTAGTACAGTTCTATTACCTCCGATTGTTGGTGAGAGTTTCAGAATTCACTTTGATGAGCTTGTCAAGATCTTGATTTCTTTAAGTGGAAAAAAATGAAAGCAACTCAGTTAGTGGTAATAATGGTTTAAGTTGGTTGGGAATAGGAAGAAAGGATTTGTTATCTTATCACTTAGTTTGAGATGTATTGATTTGGCCCAGAACAACCTTGAAATATGTGTGTTTTTTTAACCAATCCAGAGGAGGATAAATGGTGCTGGATCAGAAGGCAAGTTACTCTGATTTCACATGCTTCCTTGCCAAAGCCTAGGGTACACACTGACAAGTGTTCACTGTGGGCATCTGGTGATTTAGTACTTTTCACTCTGAAATGTTTGTTTGTTTGTTTTTTAATTTAAATATGTTTGTTATTGATTTCAGATAGGAAGAGAGAGATAGAAACATCAATGATGAGAATCACTGATTGGCTGCCTCCTGCATGCACCCTACTGAGGGGTCAAGCCCACAACCAGGGCATGTGCCCTTGACTGGAATCAAACTTGGACCCTTCAGTTCACAGGCCAACACTCTATTCACTGAACCAAAACAGCTTAGAGCCACTCTGAAATGTTTTAACTTTTTGAAGATACAAACTGATTCTAATGACCTTGCTATTTTAAAAATCATATTCACCAACTAAATATATATATATACATATATATATATATATATATATATATATATACATACATATATATATATAATTTAAATATAAGCTATAAAATTAGGATTACACTTAACATAAGATTTGGCATTAGTGAGTTTCAGCAATCCATCAAAATTGGGTTTTCTTCCCTCTATGATGACTGCAAAACCAAATTAAACTCCGTTGTTCATGGTCAAATGAATAACATCCTCTGAAAATGTCTGCTTCCTATTTGCACTCCTACCAGTTTCTTTTCCCAGTCACAGAACAATATTTGCTTTCACATGGTTTGCTAGCATTCACTGCTTCATTGTGTATGATGCCTTGTTTCAGATGCTGGAAAGTTGTGACTTCTCAAAGTGTTCCTCTAAACTCCTTTTTGATATCTATTCAAAGAAATACAATAGCCCGCCATGTCCAGAAGTCACAGGACTGACATCTGCTCCCAGCACCATCTTGGACAGCAGCCTGCCTATCCCACCTTCCCTCTAACAACCCTTCTTAATCATATAAAAATAAAATATATTTTACTCATGAAAAACATTGATGCAAGAGAAGGGGAGCCTCATAGAGGTTAATCATCAAAAAGATCTGAAAAAAGGTCCCCAGCCTAGGCTTCTCCATAGGATGTGCTTCCCACTAGCCCATGGATTCACTCAGTTTGATCTCATCACCTTAGATCTCTGTGGTAGGCGGAAAGCCACTCACTGAATTTTCTCTCTTTTGAGATTGAAGTCTTTGTGCTGTGGTTTAAACAAGGGTAGTCAGGCTGGGACTTAGGCTAGAAATTAGAAGAACTCACAGAAGACAGATTTTTGTCCCTGGCCTCGGTATTCTCATATAAAATGGGGAAACTGGATTGGGTCATCTCTAAGGCTCTTCCCATCTCTAACATCTTCTACTCCTAGGAATCTAGGAATCTGAAATTTATCACTTTTCATGTTTATTAAGTTAGCTATTTAATGCCTTTTTTTTTCTTTTTAAGTGTAGCATGCTAAGAATGCATTCTATATCCAGAAAAAAGTACATGAGTATTCTAAAATGCAATAAATTAAATTGAAAACCTATTATTGTCTCAGAATGACATCTCTGGTATATAATTAGCTTTAATCTATGATAATTGCCTGCTGTTAATAAGATTCAGTATGTCTACCGAATTCTCCTTTTGGCGTTCCTGGCCTATAATTATATCTCATGTGCTACTCATGACACCTAGTTGTAAACTTCAAACCAGTTGATGCTCAATAATTACTTAGAGCACAGAACTATCAGTCTCCCATCAGTTTTCTCTATGACCCTAGTTAAATCACCTACCTTTTCTGAATCTTAAATTCCTTTTCTGTAAATTGATTAGGTTAAACTGAAACAAAAGTTTTCAAATTGTGCAAACTAACTGGGCTATGAATTCCTTGAAGTTCCTATATTTTACCTCTAAGATTTTGCAATTTTCATATGTACCAACTAAACTCAAAAACAAAAATCATGAAAACATTGACAAGATATCTAACCTAATAATAGAGTAATATGCAAATTAACCACCACCCCACTACACAAGCCATGCCCACCAGCTGATCAGAGCAAATATGCAAATTAACCCAACAAAGATGGTGGTTAATTTGCATATATGAAGGGAGGGAGGATTGAAGACTGAAGACAGCATAGAGGGAAGAGGGAGGGACAGTGGAAAGCAAGGTGGCTGCAGCTGCTGGAGGGAAAGCACTGGCAGCAAGTGCGGGATGGGGCGGGGCATGCAGTGGCAGCGCATGCAGCCATGGAGGTGGTGGCAGTGGGCATGGCAGGTCAGAGTGCATAGTGGTGGAGGTGGTAGTGTGCTTGGCCCAGGAGGCAGGAGCAGCGGTTGGCACAGTGGATCAAGTGTGCAGGGCAAGGCATGTAGTTGTGGTGGTGGCCGCCTATCCTGCCCACCCCATCCCACTCCATCCTGCCTGTCACAGAGGGAGAGGTGAGGGGGCAGAGGAGGTGGCTGTGGCAGCAGGGAAGCCTGCCAGAATCCTTGCAGAAATATTCCTGCAACAGGTGCCTAGTATGCTATATAATAATGAGGTACTATGCAAATTAACCCTCACTCCATCACAAGATGGCTGCCCAAGACCAGGCTGGCAGGGAGGGCTAGTGAGGGATGACCAAATGACTGGACAGCAGGCTGCATGGGGCAACCAGGCCAGCAGGAGGGTTAGTGAAGAACAACCAAATGACTAAACAGCAGGCTGTGTAGGGCAACCAGGCCACCAGAGAAGGGAGGCAGTTAGGAGCAACCAGGCCAGCAGGGAGGGGACAATTGGGGGCAACCTTGCTGGAAGTGGGGGGCAGTTAGAGGAGATAGACCAGCGAGGGGTACAGTTAGGGGTGATCAAACCAGCACACAGAGGCAGTGAGGGGCGATCAGGCTGGCAGGGAGGGCAGTTAGGGGTGACCAGGCAGGCAAGCAGATGAGCAATTAGGAGCCAGAATTGTAAGAGAAATGTCTGACTGCCCATTTAGGTGGGATTGGGCCTAAATGGGCAGTCAGACATCCCTTGAGGGCTCCCAGATTGGAAAGGGTGCAGGCTGTGCTGAGGGACACCCCCCTTTTGCACGAATTTTATGCACCTGGCCACTAGTCTATATATATAAAATCATAACTGACAAATGGCCAGCTCGTAGCTATGATGCACATTGATCACCAGGGGGCAGACACTCAACACAGGAGCTGCCCCCTGGTGGTCAGTGTGGTCCCGCTCAGCTGACCAACAGGCACTAGACACCAAACTCAAGGGCTAGCAAGCACCACTGCAATGGCAGGAGTCTCTCCTATGGATACTCCCCCTGCATGCCCCTCCCCCACAAGCTGGGAGATAAGGCCTGGCTGCGGAGGGATGGAGTTCCACTGATCCCCACAGGCCAGGCCAAGGTACCCCACCAGTGCACAAGTCTGTGCACCAGGCTTCTTGTTATACAGAATTAGCTTCAATATTATTATTATTTTAAACTATATTCTAATGGAATAAATGAAAGCAATAATAAAAGAAAAATCTTTATAGCATTATTATATACAAACAAATCAATTTGCCCTAGATAGCTTGGATAAATGCATAGAGCATCTACCTGTGCATCAAAGGGTCCCATGTTCCATTCTGGCCAAGGGCATGTATATTGGTTTCAGGCTCCTTCCCAGCCCTGGCCCTGGTCAGGTTGCATGCAGGAGGCAACCAATCAATGTGTTTCTCTCATATTGATATTTCTCTCTGTCTTCCCTCTCTCTTCCACTCTCTCTAGAAGTCAATGGAAAAATATCCTCTGGTAAGGATTAAAAACAAAATAAAATAAAACAAAACAAAACAAATAAAATAAATTTGTTCTCATCATTTCTCATGTCCCCCCCTCGCAAAATATCCTTAGCCAAATAAAATAATTTTATTTTTTGGCATAAATTGGAGTCTTGAATAATCTTAATAAACTTACCTCTTGTTTGCTGAGGGAGTCACTTTGATAAGATTGTTCAGGTCTTGGTTCCTAAAACATAAACTAAAATCAATAATGTGCATATTCAACCTTAATATTTAATTAAATGATTGTTGCTAATTTAACTTTTTTATTGATTGATTTTAGGATCAAAGAGAGAGGAAGGAAGCGAGAAGAATACAGATTTGTTATTCTATCTATTTATGCATTCATTGGTTGATTCTTATATGTGCCCTGACTGGGGATCAAACCCACAACCTTGGCAGATTGGGATGACACTCTAAGCAACTGAGCTACCTGGCCAGGGCTGATTTATGCTAATTTAAAACTTCATCATTATTTAAATTCTCTTTTTAGTCCTAGGAAAAAACAGATTGCTACTATCCATTTCTTGCATAATTTTGTACTTATGAAAATTCATTTTCATTTTATTTCATTTTTTAAGGCAACCTCAAATTTAAATTACTTACAAATTCCTTATTATCCATATTATATTTTATTATATATATATTATATATTATATAGTAGAATTAGCATTTAGAACATTTTTGGAGGTTTTAATGAATCAGAGGAAAATATAAAATTGCTCATCATTTTCATGTTCTCTATATTTCTCTTCCTCTTCTCCAAGAAAATCCAACCAACTACACAAATTTAAAAACTGAAACTCCAAAAAAAGTTATTTTCTGATTCTAAGATATATAGTAATATATATAACATGAATATGTAATATTAAGGTTACTTCAAAATATAAATCAAACCACTTCAGAATCACACTTTATGCAATGCTAAATCAGAACTAGTAAGACTTCAGGTTATAAAAGTTGTTTTAATTCTAAACATTCAAATAGGTAATCATAATCTTAAAGGGACATTTCTGCTATTACACTGGGCTTTTATACAAACCCTAATACCAAATTTGATGTACTTTATTGTGGAGACAATATTATAGATCCTGAGGACAACTAAGTTCAGAAAGACTTATATCACTTAAATAATTTTTGAATTAACCTATAAACTCATTTTATGTACGTCTTTCCATCTGCACTGTGTTGAACTATATGAAATTATCATTTGGAAGGTCAAAAATGGTTGACTATTAATCATTTTATAAGTTTCAACATAATAGGATAATTTCTTTGCTATCTTCTTTTTTTTTAATAATTTTTAATTTATTTTAGAGGGAGAGGGAGATAAAACATTGATCGGTTGCCTCCTGTACATCCCTTACTGGGGATTGACCTTGCAACCTGGGCATGTGCCCTGACTAGGAATTGAACTGGCAACTTCCTGATACATGGGACAATGCTCAACTAACTGAACCACATTGGCTGGGCTGTTAACTTCTTTGACTTAAGCACAGAGTAGGGCTACAAGGACCCAACAATGAAGAAAAAATAGTAACAGTAACAATGACATCAATAGATAATGACTAATAAGTACTTGAGTGCTGAGTGCTTTACAAGCTATAGAAACTAAGTCTTTTTGAAAGAGAAACAAGGGAGACCTATCTTTCACTGAATCTTAACCTGCAAAGTAAAATATTATATAGCCTCTAAACTCAGTATCTGACTCCAAGACAAAGAGAAAAATGTTATATTCTTATTTGGTGGGGAAAAAAACTAAGGACAAGTTAGCATTAAATATTCAGATAAAAGAGTGATAAAATTTTTGGAAAACCATAAAATAAATTAAAATATATGCAAAGGGTGGGGATGGGTGGGCAGTAGGCTGTGTTTGGGAAGTTACCCAAACTATATTCAGAATTCATCTTTCACACCCATATAAAATACTATCTAGTCCAGCCTGCAGTCTGGTTTTGTAAATAAAGTTTTATTGTAACATGGCCACACCCATTTGTTTATAATGTACTATGTATGGCTGTCCAGTTCACTAGTTAAAACAGAACTGTTTTGGACCACCCACCCACCCCAGAGACCTTAAATATTTACTGCCTAGAACCTTCAAGCAAAAGTTGCTTACCTATCCTAAGAATCTTTTTATGATAGCTACATAGTGTAAAAGAAGAGCATTCCTATGTGTAAAGATAGGAAATCTACCAGGAAAAAAAAATAACAAAATGTATTTAACTCATGTTCAAACTACCATAACAATATATGTTTATAGATTAATGGTTTTGTTATCTTTTTGCTTACTTAACATAATGTGTCTTAGAGTAAATTCCCTCTATATAAAAGACAAATGTCATTTTTAAAAAATATGATATTTATTGGTTTTAGAGAGGAAGGGAGAGGGAGAGAGAGAGAGAGAGACAGAAACATCAATGATGAGAAGGAATCATCTCTAGGCTGCCTCCTGCATATCCCCTCTGGATGATTGAGCCTGCAACCCGGGCAAGTGCCCTGCCTGGGAATCTAACCATTACCTCCTGATTCATGAGTCAATGCTCAACCACTGAGCAACAATGGGTAGGCAGACAGATGTCATTTTTTATATTCCTATTATTTCAATGAACTAAGAATCATTTTTTAAATGATATCCCAATTTTAGGGGTTTTGTAAGCAAGAGTAGAAGGAAGTAAACAAGGGAGGAAGAAGGAAGGAGAAATTTCCTTTGGGCTTGGCGACATAGGCTAGAAGATGTCAACAGGGAAAAGGGGAATATGTGTAAAACTTTCAACAATAAAGATTTTAAAAAGTAAACAAAATAAAATAAAATAAAACTCATTTAGAGTACTTATCTCTAGGAAATTGTTTTGGGATGATGCTTCACCTCCTGGGCAATTCTGATTCATTTTGAGGGAACCCCAAGCATGGAACACAAATCCCATACTGATAAGAAATACTTTAAAGAATTCTCTCTCTTCCACTAAAGCTCACAGCCAGGGATCCCTGAGCAAAGGACATAAATGCCAGATTGCTGACACAGAGTTATTGATTTTTAGTGCCATCACTGGCTGTCTCCATGATGGGACAATAAATTTTATCATGTTTTTAAGTTGAATAGAAAAAAAAAGGGCATAAGAGATAGGAGAGTTCCATGAACCTCACCTTTGGTTAGTTCTGTTTGTTTCAGGAGTCACTTTGATAAGGCTGTCAACACTTTGGTTTCTTTAAAAGATTATAGAAATGATCAATGGTCAATTTATATCACACAGTTGCAAATATTTATTAAAACTTAGGGACATTTTATTACAAAAACATGTTATAATGAAGTATTTATTATAACAGAGATATCTCATAGGGTTAGAGTTTTTCCATGCTGTCTATGAATATATTTATTGAGGCCTTAATTATAACTGCATAGAAATAATAAATAATAACTAAAGCTTTTTGAATATCTGTGATGGGCCAGGCACTGTTCTAAGTGATTTACATAATTATTGTGATTTAAACCTCACCTCAAATCTATGACAGAAGAACTACCATCCCAATTTCACAAAGGGAAAAACTGAGATACTGAAAGATTAAGATTTTCCTACATGGCTAAGGGAGGCAGGGTTGAAATTTTAAGCTAAGTAATTTAACTCCAGAGTGCAAGCACTTTCCATTACTCCAACCATCTTACTGAGACGTAGTGATGGAATTAGCGTTGGGAGTAACTAGAGAGCCATTTGTCTAGCTTCCTCACTTTGAGGATGAGAAAACTGAAGCCCAAACAGGGAGGTACCAATCACATTCACACAGTTAGTGAGGGCAGAGCCAAGCCTGGACCCACATGTGCTGGTTCCAGTCCAGTTCTCTTTCCCCTTTCCCGTGCCATCCCTCTGCTCAAAAAAAATAAAATAAAAATAAATAAAATAAAATAAACAAATCAATGAATAAAAGTGCCCTGTCCATCCTGAAAAAACAACTATTCACCTAACTGGTCAAAATTGTTAACATTTCAGATATAAGGTTGTGGAGGTTACATGACTTTTCCTGAACTTTCGAGTGCCAGTCAGCTGGAATGACAATTTAATTCTATTTTAAACACTGGGTCAACATGAAATGGAAAAGAAGAGCTTATTAAATCTCACCCTTGCACACTTTTGTCTGTTCCTGGATTCACTTTGATGAGGTTTTCAAGGTCTTTGGAACTTTAAATCAAAAAGCAAACACATGGTAAGTAAAAATGGAATTAAATCAACTAAGTATATTAATTTAAATAATATATGTACTCAAGATGAATTATGCTATTAAGTTTTGGTATTTGAATTAATACCAGTTTATTCCCTTCATTTAAAAGAGAGAGAGAGAGAGAGAAAAAAACCTCTATACAAATCATTGGCATACTGGTTTGTCATTTACCCTAAAAATAAAACCATAAAAGTAGACAAGATTGAGCTTTAAAAAAACATTCAGGAATTATTTAGTGATTTGCCAAAAACTTTCACCTGCCCCCTCTGATGCTATAGCTATACTCTTTTGTTTTGTTTTGTTTTGTTAATGATTTACATTTACAGTGCATTTTTGCTTTAATGGGATTTTATACCCATTATTTTTATAATCATTCTTTCAATAATCAAGTGGTAAAGGTGAGAGAAACATTTTATAACTGTAGAAGCCTAAGCCAGCATGTTCAAGGCACCATGTGGCAAATAATGAAGCCCAGACTTCCCGATTCAAATTCAAAGACTTTTCAACACAGCTGCTCTGAAGAGTGCCACAAATTGATGCGGTTGGGGAAGGAAGAAAGATCAGACATAATCCTCACCCTGAGTTACTTCTGCTCACTTCAGGGGTCACACTGCTGAGATTGCCAAGACTCTGGCCCCTTTAAAACATTAAAAAAAAATTTGAAGTTAATGAGAGATTAATAACAAGTGGGCAAAATTATTTATTAAAATTCAGAAACAGTATCAACACTTGGTGAGATCAGGTCAAAGAGTTGAAGACTGGTAAAGGTGACAATGCAGAAGAATGTAAGAACTTATACCTGCCTAAAACTCATGGAGACTCAGCGAGGGATTTTAATCTTGGAGCCATTATGCTAGTAGCAAATGCCATCCTAAGACTTTGTTTCTATCATGATTTATCTAATGCTACACCCTTGACCTTTGCCAGGTGCACTAAATGTTTTGTAGTAGTTCCTATATATGTCTCAAGGCACATTCCAGAAGGACCCTCTTAATATCATACTTCAACATGCTGAGGAACTTTCAAATTAACTTTGGAAAATATATATTTTGTAAATGACACTCTTTAGCAAGTTCGCTATTCACAATAATGGATTAAAATTAATATACCGGTTTGTTAATGTTCATGATATATATAGCCTGAAATCTGCCTCTAGTACTGTGTGTTAAAACTACATCTTTTTACTAGTTCTGTGTTGGCAACAAACTATAAAGATTAAATCCATGGAGTTCTGAAATGTAAAATATGTTTACTGTAATATAAAACTCTCTATAGTCCCTGAAAACATGTTAGGATTTCATTGTTACCCTTTAGAGTACCTGCATCTGATCTTAATGGAATTTTGCTTTTCTTACCATTTCTCCATGCTCTGTGGCCCTACTAAGATCATATCATAGTCTCTGAGATTGCATTTATACATCAAAGATAGAGATATTTGGAAGCAACCAGATGTTGACTCGAGTTTTTACTTGTATCCAAATGTCTGAGAATGTGTATACCCAGGCTAAAAGCAGCTAAAATATTTGAATCTTTTCCATACAAATAACGAAACAATTAACCTGACATAAATAGCTATTCTACTCCAGAAAACTCCTTGTTGATTTTTCAAACACTTTGTTGATTTTTGCTTAAACCAAGTATGTGAGATTTAAATGCCAGTGACTGAAAATAAAAATTCCTAGGATGCTATGTCCACACTTGAGTACTCAAAAACAATAAAAATAAATAAATAACACAACAATAAGCATTGTAATGCATCCCTTGTAATATTGGTGTTGGCAATATTTATTATATTGCCAAGACTTTGATCTCTTTGAACATATTAAATAAAGTACATATTAGTGTAAGGTTATTAAAATTTCAAAGTTCATAAAGTCAGTAAGGTAGGAATGAGCCTGGAATCTAAGGTAGTTTTGGCTGGACTTATTAAACAAGTAAAAGACCATCATTAAGGCTTAAGATTTTATTCTATCTGAAATGTGATAATGCTGAGAGTTTTTAATAAGGAAGGGAGCATAATCTTATTTTATTTTTTTAAAAAAAGTCTACAGAATATTGCACACATAATCATACACACATGAATCCCCACAAACTTTTGTATGTGAACACATCTCACACATAAACATGCAGTACACACATACACATCAACATATGAAAAACATTAGGTGATTATTTGAAATAGTCTTATAAAAATTAGAAAGGAAAATAGATATTTCCTAGAGAGTCAAAGTAAATTAAATATTTAAACGATGAATAAATCATTAAGAAAGCAAAATTCACCTGATCTTTATTACTGCTCACAGTTACTTGTATCTACTATGTGCTGATTATGGTAGTATTATGATTCCTATTTTGTTGATGAGTAAATTGAGGCACAGAGACACAGCTAGCCAGTGACAGAGTCAGAATTTGAGTCTCCGTCTTGTGGATTCGTTGTTCACATTCGCTACTTCAGGATACCACCCTGAACCACCCATGTAGCCAAGGAAATCAATGCTTTCTTTTCCATCTGTTTGTTGCAAAGCTGTACAGGTCTGTGAGCCTCTGACCAAGCCAGGCTGCTGAGAGCAGTGTGTGCCCCAGCTTTACTGCTGCCCCAGCCCTGGCCCTGCTCCCTGGGCCTACAGGCATCAGTGACACATTTAGAATCTAATAATATCATGTCCTGAGTTAACTGAATGGAAACGAGTTCTACAAAAACCACATGGAACTATTTGGTACACTGTTTTCAGCAACATGCCCACAAGCTCAGTTTCAAATCTATTCCCATCTGCTTTTTGAAAAATAAAAAGCAAGAGGACATAAGCTTTCCAGATTTACTTGACAATTCATGGGTGGGAGACCTCTTAATGAAGTACACTTGTTAAGCTTCTCATCTTAAACACCCACCATGCTTCACCCACATAACATATAGTACACACAAATATACTACACACATGAAAACAGTTCACATATATACATACTTACACACCCACATACATATACTACTACTACTACTACTACTACTACTACTACTCACACACACACACACACACATATACACAAACACTACTTACATATACATACACACAGTACTTCTATATGCACAAATTGTAATGGTTAACTTCACGTTTCAACATGACTGGACCACAGGGTGACCAGGTATTTGGTCAAACATTAGTCTGGGGGTGTCTTCGAGGTTTTGGATGAAATTAATATTTGAATGCAGATAGCCTTCCCTAACATGAGTAGGCCCCATCCAATCAGTTGAAGCCCTGAACAGAATACTAGTGTCTAAGAAAAACAGGACTTAGCCTGCCTGACTGCTTATTCTGCGACATTGTTCTTCTCCTGCCCTTGGACAAGAGCTTATGCCATGAGCTCTCCTGGTTCTCAGGCCTTTACACTTGAACTAGGAGCTACAGTTTGCTACATAAATATGAGCTTGAGAGTTCTCAGCATGAAACAATTCCTTCTAATAAAGCTCTCTCTCTCTCTCTCCCCACCTATCGGTCTATCTATATCTATCTATATATCTCCTATTCTGCTTAATTGAAGAATCCTAGTTAATATATACACTTATAGACACACACACCACATATGTGTGTGTCTATAAGTGTATGTATCTCTGTGCCTTCAATACACACATACATATGTACAGGGAAGGACATAAGTAGGTTTAGAGTTATGAATATGTGAAACAGAGTTTATTCTTATATTATTATTTATTAACTAGAGGCCTGGTGCACAAAATTTGTGCACGGGGGTGGGGGAGATGTCCCTCAGCCAGGCTTGCACCCTCTCCAATCCAGGACACCTCAGAGGATGTCCAAATGCCTCTCATAATCTGGGACCATTGGCTCCTAACTGCTTGCCTGCCTGCCAGCCTGGTCGCCCCTAACCCTAACGGCTCCCCTACCAGCCTGACCACTCCTAACTGCTCCCCTGCTGGCCTGACTGCCCCTAACTGCTTCTGCCTTGCTCCACACCCAGGACCCAGGATTCCCTCCACTGGTTGGTCACAAGCACCTGGGACCCAGGCTTCCCTCCCTCTGGCTGGCCGCAGGCACCTAGGACCCAGGCTGGCTTCACTTGGGCTGGCCACAGCCATAGGGTCCATAGGTGGGTGGCTTTGCCTGGGCTGTGGCTGTAGCTGCAGGCACCCAGGACCACGGAGCAAGCAGCTTGTCTTTCCCAGGCCATAGACTGGCTGGTCCCCATTCCTGTCTCTCAACTCATTTGTGCCTGACTGGTTCCCATTCCTGTCTCCCCAGTGTTGAGTGTCTGAGCCTTTATTGCCTGATGGTGTGAGGGCCTGTGGATCATTTGCATATTAGCTCTTCATTATATAGGATTATTATATTATTTCCATATGAAAAAGTCTAAGCCTACTTTTCCTACTTACTATACTATTATACACACACACACACACACACACACACACACACACACATACATATATACATACATTGAAATCATTTAGCTCAGAAGAGCTCAGTCAAAATTCTCATTTAACATCTCAAAATCTATCTGGCAGCAAACTTTAACCAAGAATAAAATGCAAGAGATAATGTCTGTGTATCCAAAGTACAACTGCTCTGGCTTGATCAATTTACTGTCCTGAATACAGGCACTCAGGTTGCTAATATGCTTATAAATGCCAGACAAAGGAAGGGAAAAGCTTTAAATATCTTACCTCTTCATATTTTTATTTGTTTCAGGACTCACTTTAATGCGCCCACTGAGGTCTTGTTTTCTTTGAGAAAGAAAATAAATTTTACTGAACGTTGTTAAAATAAAACACTAATTAAGTGAACAATGATTGGACAAATTGAGTGGTAAATATACAAGTTCTCTGTCATTGTAATTGTTCAAGCTCTAAGTACAAATAAAAATTCTCTTACATCTTGAGTTGGAGAACATTTAAGTTTCCTTTTTTTTTTTTGTTAACAAGAAACATGTTATCTGTTCTATTCTCAAAATGCATAAGTAAATGTGAAACTTGTTATTTAACAAAATCAACTTTGCCCTCAGATACATCTTGTAAGAATACCCCAAATGGTCAGCATTGAAGTTAAAGTTCTATGCTGGATCCAATCAGAATATAAATTTCTACTCCATAAATCATATATAATTGCCTATTCTGTTTTTTAAATAAGAGTAATGCTAATAACTTTCAAATATTAAAGTTATTAAATACATGTATAAAGTTATTAACACATATTAATAATAAATATTTTAAAACAATAAAAATATATCCTTTCATATAAACTCAACCATTCCCACAACTCAAACCTTCTAAAAATAATTGAGTTACAGTGAGTTACAAAGGCAAAAAAACAAACAAACAAACAAAAAAAAACACCTTAAATGGTAAAAAAATGAATGACTCCCTTCTCAGAGGACTTATGTTCCTCCCATTAAAATGCATTGAGTAATACCAAAAGGAGCAGAAGATGAACCTAAAGGGACAGTAGAGGATGCCAATAGTAGGTGACTGACAGCTCCTGCCATGCTCACATAGTGAGAAGAAAAGTAGAAGGATGTTCTTTCTCCCACTGTGTGCACTTGCCCAGCCCTCCTCTTGGCTGCCTTCTGAGACCACATCCTCAGAAACATTAATTTCCAAGAGTTTTAGTCAAACCCCACTCTTGGCTATCTTTGTCACTTTGGAGATCCACTTTGGAAAATAATATCTAGATTGTGCTCTCATTGGACACAAGAAATTCAATTCAGCCCTAACCGGTTTGGCTCAATGGATAGAGTGTTGGCCTGCAGATGGAAAGGTCCCAGGTTTGATTCTGGCCAGGGGCATATAGCTTGATTGCAGGCACATCCCCAGAGGGGAGTGTGCAGGAGGCAGCTGATCAGTGTTTCTCTCTCATTGATTTTTCTAACTCTCTGTCCTTCTCTCGTCCTCTCTGTGAAAAATCATTAAAATATATTAAAAAAGAAAAGAAAGAAATTCCATAACTCATCCTTAAAAACAATCCAAGTCTAAAATTTGGAAGAAAAAGTAACATTGGGACATTTCTTAAAAAATAAGTGATTTTTTAGAGCAAAGAGGGAAGGTCATGTGGCCCATTGCTATTTTCCAATTCCATGCTAATAAAATATGTCTGTAAAGTCAAAATGCTAAATCATTTTTCTTATTAATTATCACTTACAGAAATCAGATTTAAGGCACTAATAAGACTTAGCCAGTGGTATTTTTACTTCCTCTGGGATTAATTTTGTTAACATTGTCAAGGTCTTCACCATTTTTTTTTAAAGTTTAAATCAGTTTCAAACATTATTGTAATATATATATTAATATATATATGTATATAATTAATGGTTAATTCAAGATTTTAAAGAAATTTATTATACTGATATTAAATTCATTTTTATTATAAAATTGCCTATAAACAACATAGTTAAATTAAATTTGGGATTTAGTTGGCCTATATGTAAATGTAAATTCATACAAAATGTACTATAGAATCTCCAAAGTGAAGGCCAGGGCAGTAGGGGTCAGACACAGAAGAGAGAAGACAAATTTAAAGATGCAACCCTTTCAATGTCACTGAAAAGATCACACAATTAATCTGGATGAAAATAACCAAGATTCAGAAACAACAAAACAGTTTTCATTCTCTGTTAGTTTTACCTGCCCTGGTTTTTGCTTTGATAATTGTTTCTATTGTAGATCTTGACTTCTTTGGAAAACCATGAAAAATTCATGCCAATTAAGTCACATCTGAGCTTTATCTGAGCTTTACTCATACAAACAAGAATGCCCCTGAAAGGGTGTCGGATGTTTCCAGGACCAGAAGACCAGAAAAACTTTTGATGTAATTATCCTTAGCTTCTCTTTATTAATTCCCATAGTAACACTTGCTATAAATCGGTTTAGAAAAACTTGCTCACATACCTCTCACTTTGTAATTTTGTGCTTTATATTTCTTCATTTAAATATAACATTTGGCTCATTTTTAAATTGTTTAGGATGATACAGAATAAGAGATTATATCGCAGGTTTTCCTGACTTTAATGTATCTCAAATATGTGGTCCTATGGACACAACATTTGTCATATTCCTTCGCCTGCTATCTCTAATAGGCCTAAAACTGCAGCTTCATCTGCCACAGAGGAAAGCACAGCACTCCTATTTCTAATGAGGTGTGAAAAGCTGACCTAAAAGGAGCCCATCAAGTAGGAGTTCTCCTTACCCTTTCTCATACTGGTCAGTCCTTTGGTTAAATTGGATAAAACTTCCAAGGCCTTGGTTTCTTGATCACATTGGGGCAGAGGTGGGTGGGCAGAGCAACAGAGACAGAAAAAGAGAGAACAATTCAATCTCTTATGATAATAGCAGATTTCTCACAACAGGAGTTAAGATGTTATCAGTACCTAAAGTATCAAAGCATCAAAAGTCCTTAGAAATATTGAGTTCAAGTAGCTCTACTCCTGCGATATGCTGACAAGTTATAGTAGCTATTTAATAGCAAGGTCCTAACCATCCTCAGTTATGATTAAATCAACTTAAAAGTATAAGTTCTGCCCTAGCTGGTTTGGCTCAGTGGATAGAACAATGGCCTGCAGACTGAAAGGTTCCAGGTTCGATTCCAGTCTGATTTGCAGGCTCAATCCCCAGTAGGGGGCATGCAGGAGGCAGCTGATCAATGATTCTCTGTCATCATTTATGTTTCTATCTCCATCTCTCTCCCTCTCCCTTCCTCTCTGAAATCAATAGAATGAATATATATATATATATATATATATATATATATATATATATATATATTTTAAGATTAAGTTCCTCCAGGTCTCAGCTTTTTCTTTCTTTGTCCTTTATGGATGGGTTGGTGGGAAGTAACTTTAATATATCTGTTCAGATGCTGTCTTCTTTAAATGTGAACATCATTCACAACAGGGGAGAAGTCAGATAATCAACATTTTAAATCTTCTTTAAGTTGAACATTTGGAGAAGTCATTTTTAAATAAAAAGTCCAAAGTTCTGAGTAATCTTGGAAAAGTGGAAATGACACTATGATGATTCTAGCATGTTATATAAATTGACCATAACCAATAAAATTTTCACATGCCAATAGCATAAACCTATTAGGAATTATCAGAACTTATCCCTTTCAAGTCCCTAATTATGCAAGCATTCCCCTTTGCTATTTTCATCCGTCTTTGATTTCACTGTGATAAGACTATTGATATTTTAATTTTGTTCAAAATAAGAAAGAAGGGAGGGAGAGAAGGAAGAATAAGGAACTATGAACTCCCCCTACTACACAAACAAAGCATCAAAGCCCATTTGCTATTAAGTTATTACAAATCACTTTTATCTTCCTTTATAGCCCATAAAATGATTACTTGTTATACTCACCCTACTCTTCTTATTTTCTATTATTTTTGTGGACCTTTCTAAACTTCATTTTTTAAATATCTGAAATCCCACCTTTTCCTGCAAAGTTTATGTAATAGCTTACAGAGAATTGACCAGTTTCCCACTTCATCTGTTCTCCACTTGAAAAATTAACCTGTAATAATACTTCCATATTTACATTATAATAATGTACTGTATTATTAACAAGCATTTCAGGTCTGTGAGATTATTATTGCTAACACTTTTGCCAAATACATTTTCAGTGTTCGACATTAGAGTAAGTTGAGAGTGGCATGGAAAGCTAGAATGCCCTTCTGTACACAGACTGGCACAGATAGATAATTTTAAAAGATAACCAAGACAAAGAAATAATTATCACATTAGGAAGGCAAACTTAGTGACTAACCAAATACAAAGTAAACAGTCAACCTGAGGTAAAAACAGAGCTCTCATAAATCCTTACCCTTTGTCATTCTTTACTGTTCTGGGGTTTTCTTTTATGAAACTGTCAAGAGTTTGGTTTCTTTCAACATGAAAAAAATAATACCGATAACATAAGTCAATTTTCTAATACATCAGTGAAAGTCTAGAGCTATAACTTAATTCCTTAAATGCTATCAGTTCAGTTACTAATCATTCATCAACCCTTTTAATCAGACAAAATAAACAAAAGCATAGCTCTTGACTTTGAGATATTTACAAATACATTTGAAATATATCTATGAAGTGACTCAACTAAGATTTCAAATGAAAATGGCCTTAGTGTATCATAAATACATCAGTGGTAAAGGGCTGTGCTCCTAGCATTAAGTCTTACAATAAATACATTTGGTTCATAAACCAGCCTTTTGTCCACTACTTGGAATAGCCAGATTTCTTCCATTTTTAGATTTAAAAGGAGACTTGGAGATCATCTAGGTCATACCCTTCATTTTATTGGATAAGGAAACGGAGGGCGCCCAAGGTTACGTGACGCTCTCTGGGTTACCCAGATTGCTGTTGGTGCAGAGCCGGCCCTAAGATATCCACCCATCTCCTGCCCCTGACTGGGCGGTCTGTTCCACCAGCCCTCGGGATCCCTGTTCTGAGCTGGTGGTCTCCCTCAGCAAATACAGTGTAGGACTCAACCAAAGAGGCCTGTTAGAGTCTTAGTCAGGTCTTACCCTTTGCCGTCTTTGTTTGGCCGGCTATTCAGAAAGAGAAGACAGTCAAGGCTTTGGGCTCTGTAAAACAGAAAGAAATTCAAATAAAAAAATTGCATATTGCAATAAAATTATGTGGTATCTTGAAAGGTCAGCTACAATAAACATTCCTCATGAATTGCTCATTTACTCTTAGTGAACAAAAGAGCAGAACTCCTTCTGAGCAATTATGTCTGAACTAAATGCACAATGCTGAGGGCACCACCGCATCTGCTAGTACATTTTCATGCCAGAGGATCCAACTCCCTCCCAGTTAGTGTCTGACAGAATAAAACAGCAATCTGGGAGGTCACATTTGCAGGTTAGAGACAGATGCACTTACCTTTTCTCTATTTGCTCTGCCTTAGGAGTTGTTCTGAAGATGCCATCAAGACCTTGATTTCTTCAAATGTATTAAACAAAAAACCTTGTCAGTGGTAATAATAGAAACATAGACTCCATAGAAACATAGACCAGTTTACATCTAAGATAGGAAATAGAAGCTTGTGGGAAAAGATGAGCCACATTCTTGAAATTGCTTTATTCCAAACAGATACTTTGATAGACTCAACATTTAAATTGCAGTGGAACTTAAAGAAAAGTTACAAATTGGGGATATATAACCCATAACAGGTACACAGGTGTATTGTTTGGGTTCACGGAGTGTTGTTTATTTCTTATTTGTTTTTGTAATTTTTAAATATGTTTTTATTGATTTCTTTATAGAGAGGGAAAGCAAGATAGAAAGATTGATGAGAGATCCACTGTCTCCCACACAGCCCCTACTGGGAATGGAGCCTGCAACCCGGGCATGTACCCTGACTGTGAACCAAACCAGAGACCTCTTGGTGCCTCAATCAACACTCAACCACTGAGCAACACCAGCCCAGCCATGGATGCTTTTTCTTTTAATGTGAGCCAATATTTACAAGACAGCATGACCTATAAAAACCTGAATTTTCAGGACCTCCTGTAACACTGGGCTCAACTTCTCACATGGCAATACTCAGCTGGAGCTGGGAAACAGCTGTGCTCTTTGGAAAGGACATTCCCCTAAGTCTTATATAGTCATTTACACCGGCCTGGCCTCCACAGGCCATTGAGTCTATGATTCATGACCTCATACCTCTTTCTCATGTAGATCATTATTGTCAGAACAGGGTATGAAAAATACATCTCTTGATCAATGAACATATTTGACATTTGCTTTTTCTCTTTTTCTTTGGTCCAGTCTCTTCAGTATGTTAAAATGCAAAGTGACAGAGAGATAGTTAAAACTCCGGCCCTAGCTGGTTTGTCTCAGTGGATGGAGCATCGGCTTGTGGACTAAAAGGTTCCAGGTTTGATTCCTGTCAGGGGCACATGCCTGGGTTGCGGCTCAAACTCCAGTGTGGGGTGTGCAAGAGGCAGCCAATCGGTAGTTCTCTCTCATCATTGATGTTTCTTTCTCTTCTTCTCCCTTCCTCTCTGAAATCAATAAATATATATCTTTTTTAAAAAAACTTCACACTTCTCTAACACAAACCTCAATTTTTTTTTTATAATTTTTAAAGTATACAGTTACAAATGATTCAAAATACAGAGATAATGTTACCTAAGATAATAAGTGGTTTATGTAATGGTTAAACTAACAGCAGGTAGTGATCAAACCAAACTCTGTTTATATACTAAGGTAATATTTTGGGAAGAGAAATGTATTTATTTATTTAACTTCTTTATTAAATGGAATGTGAAAATCAAAGTCACCTTAATATTAGAGTCTTTGCATTATAGTAACCATTCATAATAATGATGCAATGATGATTTTCACAAGCTTTTTATTCAAAATGTGTAGGATACTTTTGCCTAGCCCAGAATGTGAGTCCTCATGCTCCAATATTGAAAAGACATAAGAAGTCATGTCATGTAATTCAGAAATAAAGCAAAAAATAAATGTATTGAAATCTTACCTACTCAAGCTTTTGTTCATTTTGATGATATTATCCAATTCTTCACTTTTGGAAGAAAAAAAAAAATCTCACATCAGTCAAAGCCTGACCAGAATCAAAGAGCAGATTCACCTTAAAACAGCTGAGTTCTCTGAAATACAACACGTGTCCCACCTCTACCATCTAACAAACACCTCTTTCTTGAAAAACTTCTTTCCCCGACTTCCAACTGAATAGAGTCCCTCCATTTTTGCAATCCCAGCAGCATTTTTTTATTTGTACCTCCTCTAGGACACTTACATGAATGCACTTAACATGACAACTGCAACTTGTCCCATACGATTGTCCCTGCTCCTGTGCATACAAGTGTGCACACAGACATATCCCACTTAGAATTTAGAACTGTGCTTTACCTCAGATCTTCCTCAGTCTTTCATATAGTGTCTTTCATCCAGTAGATACGTAATACCGGTTTTTAACTGAGTCAACAAGTACATTGCCTAATTATAGATCCTACTCTTGCACAATGTATTTTCACAAAGCAGCTATTCAATAACATTTGTTCATCCTTAAGTCTGACTGATTTCTTGAATTTTTGTTAACCTCATCCCAGGCCAGCTAAATTTGGTAGCCTGTTTTTGTATTTGAGGACTGTAAAATCTTCACTGGCTGCTTCTTTGAGAGCAACCTGTCTCAGCGAATCCTCTGGGTACCAGAATATTCCTTAGAAACACAAGCTCAGCTCTCCCCGAGAAAGCAGCCTCAGTGGGTTTGATGGTCCTCTTCCCTCCTCAAGCGTGTCCTTTCCTCACCCTCTTCACCACCATTTCTTTGGTGTCCCTCATTCATTTTTTCAATGAAAAATTTTTGGTTCTCTCTGCTTCCTGATTGAGAACCACATGTTTTTAATACTTTCTCAATGTTTCTCTTTTTTCTTGATTCATTACTGGTGTTAACCAGGAGGCTGTGAGGCCCAGTAACTTGGTAGTTACACAATCAGGCTCCCAAGTGAGGAATCCCAGTGCAGGATTCACCACGTAGGAGTTGGCGACTCTGGGTGAGCTACCTAATATCTGCCTTGACTTCTCCATCTGTACAATAGGCATATGAATTGTTCCCACCTCACAGAATCAATAAACTAATGAGGATAAAGTGCTTATTATGATGCCTGGCAAGTCATAAATTAATCTTGGCCATTATATTAAACAGTTCCCAGTCAATAATAAAATTTTCATTTTTCACTTTTGAACTGCATTTAGAGATGCCAAGACATTGGCTTAGATTTAGAAAGGTATAATTGCAGAGTGATGTATGTGCTTTGAAGAGGCCTGACACAGCAACAACAGTCCTCTTAGAGACCCGTAAGAGCACATTAGATCAACAACCATCCATAGCTGAACCTGTTCAGGTAATATTATGTATTCTATGGTAGGATTGAAGGCTGAGAATAAATACTGAAAGACAAAAGTCACTGTCTGTGAAAAAAAATGAATCTTCTCTCCTTATGTGGGACAAACATTACCCAGGCCCCTGACACAATGCCCCATTGTCTTTTCTTGCTTGAAATTCTACCTTCCAACTCTGAGGCTGTGACTCTGTCCATGTCCCCAAGGGAAAGAGCAAATTTAACAATCCTGTAAATTTTAGCCACAGACCTTTCTGACTGGTATGAGTCACAATAATGAGATTATCAGGATTAGGGTTTGCTCGTGTTTATCACGAGAAAATTAGCATAAATCATGAGGAGACACTCTGTAGTAAATTAAATAAAATAGAGATTACATCCTGAATGAAGAAGTTCAGCTTTTAAAATGACCTTAAATTGATGAAAGCTTTGGATATTAAGTTTCACCATTGCATTTGCAATAAATTAAATGCTTTTAATCAGATAAGAATTTCACAAAGGAACTTCACAAAGAGCAGCTGGGATAAATAAAGCTATTCTAGTCCCTATGAGCATCTCACAGGAACAATACTCAGCTACGGAAGCAACAGACATTTTCCCTGGGCCCCCTACCCCCCCCCCCCCCCCCCCCCCCCCCTGTCAAAGCAGCAACTTCTCTCTGAGAAGAATGTATCTGGCTTTGGAATCTGTGTGTCATGGCTGGGGAGAGTGGACAGGAAAGTTCAATGGACTGCAACTCTGGTTGTCTTTGTTTGATTTATGAGAATCAGTGATCTCTTCAGTATCACTCCCCTATCTTTCTCTTAAACTTCCCTTTCACTTACCAAAAACTATCTATTTTTAAACCCTATTAAAAACAAAATATTGCCTCGAACCAAAATGAATAATTAAATTAGAGCTCTAATTTGATGAGAGGAGAAATGGAAATGAAACATTCCTGATACTCTCTCGAGTTCCCTTCCAGATTCAGAGCTCCTCTTCTGTTTGTGAATTTGCACAGAGCTAAGTGTCACTTCTGTTTCTTCTCTGCAGTTCTTTCAACCGAGGCTGCAATCCCTAGTAACACTAAGCATTGCTAAATTCCATGAAGAAAAAAAAATTGTAGGCATGGGATTTAAACTATGAAATCTTTATATTCAAGGTTTTCTCACTGTGCATCATTATTTTGCCATATTCTATAAACACCTACTTTGTACAAAGCATCAGGTTAGCCTCAGTAAATAACATATGATGAATAAGAAAAAAATATCTGCTCTGACAGACTTAGAGATGATAGAGATGATGAAATATTTACATAAATAACACGAAATAGCACCAATGTGATTAGTTGTTATAAAATATAAATTGTGGAGCTCTAATTGCTTAGAGAAGCAGAAGTCACATTTCACTAGATCACTAAGGGAAGACTTCCTAGAAGAGGTGATATTTGACTTGGTTCTTGAAAAAGGTAGGACTTGGGTGGATGGAAATGGTGACCTTGAGGCTGGAAATGGGAAGAACAGAATAAGCAAAGGCAGGGTATCTGGAAACTATAGAAAGGAAGCAATTTAACCTGGTATTGAATATAGGGTAACTGCAAGGGTAAAGTCAGAAATAACTTCAGAATGTTAGGTTGGGGCCAGCTCAGCAAGGGCCTTGTATGAGGTTTTATGTGATTGGGTGGGCAATGGGGGGCCAGTGGAGTTGGGTTCGAGCAGAAACTTAGGAAAAGAACTTTGGTGGGGATGATGGGTAGTCATTGTTCAGAGACTGGAGGAGTGTAAGTAAATCTGGACAAGCTACTCTAATAACCTGCGCTGAAGTAAATAAAAGTTTGAACAGGGGTGAGGCCATAAGGGCATGAGGGATACTTTAGACTAGGGGTGTCGAACTCAATCAGAGAAGGGGCCAAAATCTAAAATCCAGCCTAAATCGCGGGCCGAATGGTTTACTGAACAGTCATAAACTGTCATTGTGATGGAAACGCAGCGGAGTGCAGTGATGACAGTGAGGTGCGGGCCACATTGCAAGGCCTGGCGGGACGGATTTGGCCCGCGGGCCTTGTGTTTGACACATGTGCTTTAGACATTTAATCCATATATGTCTGGTTACATAGAGAGAAAAAGACCTGGACAAATCAAGAATGACTCCAGAAAGATGAATATTAGAACAGAGGAGAAGTCAGGAAGTAGCCTCTTTAGGAATAAAGTTGAATATGGTCTAGGACATGCTAACTGGGAAGGCTGTGAGAGAAATAAATAGAGATCTGACAAACAACATAATTACAGGACTGGTGGTTTGGAATGAGGTCAAGACCATGAACGCTGAGGTCATGAGGCTGTGTACTGTCACCAGAAGAGAAAGCAGAGGAAGAAAAGTATCCATAAATATCAGCAAATTTTTCAGGACACATCCACAGACACTGATTCTTTCTTCTTTTAAATTCTGTATTATATTACAAACATCAGAATGTTGCTTATACTGGGAACTTTAAGGTACTGGTAAAGCATTTTGAAACATAAAGAGAAGAAAAAAACACAAGCTCAAAGCTCTGAGATCTCACCCCTTGTCAGTTCTCTGAAGTGAAGTCGCCACTTTGACGATGTTCTCCAGATCCTGACGACTTCAAACAATGAAAAGTAAATACAGGTCAATGACAGTAGAACTACCCTTGAAGCAGCTAACATTTCTCACTGTTCTCAGTGGAGGGAAAAAAAAGCCATAGTTCATGTGATATTTGGAGATTATTGAGCCTAACTGAATAACAAAATAGTTCTATAATATCAACTCATGATACACACACACACACACACACACACACACACACACACCCCACGCTGTCATTCCACATGGACATTGGTTCTGCCATCTAGTGCTCACTGAAACAACTACAGTTTCTTCTAAAATGTAATTGGCTGAAGTTCTACACCTAAAAAGAAGGATGTGGAAAAGAAAATAAACTGCACAAGTAAACACAGAAGCATGTTCAGAACTTTTTCTACCGAAACCAGTCAGTATTAAGCAGCCTATTCAGATGATTGGTTCATCCCTCACATGAGGTGAAGAGGCACTGTCTTCTTAGGCTTCCAAAGGGAAAGGAAGTACATTGTAAACATGGGACAGGATACCCAGACAGCTTAAATTGATGTGGGTCCCTCAGTCTACACATCATGAAAAGGAATAATTCAAAAAATCCTTACAGGTCTCCCTGTATTTAAGGCCTGTGTTTCACAATGTTTGATAAAGAAAAAATTTTGTAGTCTAGTAAATTTGAGAAGTGTAACCAACTTTTGGAGATTCAGAAGGTACACATGCATACTGAAGGCTTTGAGAAGTCGTATGTCAGAGAACTCTGTTTGTATTTCCTCAATGTGTTGGGCCAATGAACCCTTCCTTTGCATGACGTGCATTAGCCTCTGGTGGGACATGGGGACACAGTCTGGGAAATGGCGAAGTAGTGCTGCACCTTAAGTTACTAGATACTAGAGAAACATGATGCTTCCCATAGGTAAGGTATCTGTGTGATGTATTATGTTTCAAAAAAGTTTTGCCTGAAAAATTGGTTTACCATAATGATTAAAATGGTAAACTTATAATAATAAAAATTGGCTTATCATATTGATAGGTCTATAAAATAGCACTGGCTTAAAAGCTAATTTCAAATAGCATTTTTTCTAAAAAATAAGTCATAATGATATATCCACAACAAATACTAAACTAGAAGAGTGTGGAAGACAACAGGCGTAACTCAGGACTGTCCTGGAAAAACCTTTCCCAAAGTTGTCAATACAATGTGTGGGCCTCTTCCTGATGAAGCAGGTAGAACTGGAGGTGACCTTATTTATACAGCCATGGGCAAAGCTTTTGTAGAACAAGTTCAATCGAATGACTAGATTTCCACCTATTCATTAATACAACACCAGCCTTGGGACATGAAGAGATGGTTTCCTATCTAAGGGGTTTAATCTTATTCTGTTATTATGTTCAGACAATTTTGATTGCTTTCTTTATGTAAATCTTAGAATAAAAATTAAGTAAATAGAATTCTTAGGTGCGTATAAGAATACTTATTTCCCACTATATTGAAATCAGCTGGAAAACTAACTATTTTATTATTAACTAGAGGCCCGGTGCACGAGGGGGTCCCTCAGTCTGGCCTGCACCCTCTCGCAGTCTGGGAGCCCTCGGGGGATGTCCAACTGATGGCTTAGGCCCGCAGCAATTGGCCTTCTTTAGTGCTGTCGCAGAGGTGGGATAGGCTCCTGCACCACTGCTGCGCTTGCCAGCCATGAGCCCAGCTTCTGGCTGAGTAGTGCTCCCCCTGTGGGATCTGGCAGAAACTGGCTCTACAACGTCACCCATTGGCCAGCCAGAGAGGGATTGTGGGAAGGCTCTAGGATATGTCCTACCCATCTGCTCTATCCACATCACCCAGACCCCGCCCTGCAAGCTAACCTATCAGTCAGAGCATCTGCCCCCTGGTGGTCAGTGCAGGTCAGAGCGACTGGTCGACCAGTAAACTGTCTGCTCCCTGGCGGTCAGTGCATGTCATAGCAAGTGGTTGAGGACCTTAACATATCATTAGCATATTACGCTTTGATTGGTTGATCAGCTGACTTGTTGACTGGACACTTAGTATATTAGGCTTTTATTATATAGGATTATTTAGTATTTTTAAGTGTTCTAATAAAGCAGATTTTATCATTTCTATAAATGCATAGACATAGAAATAGTTCATTTTACCTTATATTTCTTTCAGCAGATCTGTTGTTTTCTGAATATACACTTGCTTTTGGTGGACAAATCTGCCTGTATTTTAAAAGTTAAAATAATATTTGTTAGGTAAGAAAACACTTCTCTATAAAATTTAAATTGTTAACAAAACATTTATGTCCAAAAAATCAAAGTGTATTAGAACACTATTTGAGATAACAAATTTCTCTAGAACTCAACCGCAGATTCCTTTTGAAATTATAGAGTCTAATATAGTAACTTTCCAATTTAGTTTATCTCACTTAATGTATTTTTAACCACTGAGTATATATAGCAATATCTATTCTAAATATGTACATTTATGTTTGTTTTATTTTAGTTTCAGTCATCAATAGAGCATTTTGATACCTATCTCTTTTAGATAATGATATAATATTTTAAAATATTAATAATAATTTTTTATATTAGACATCAGATGAGTAATTTTTTCTTAAAAATGTTCCATTTGAATACTATCATGAAATATAACTGCTCAAATATGATGGGAAAAATTTTTAAATTTCCAGTATACGCACTATATCCAGAATGTTCAGATTTAATTGACAGAATTAAGTTCTATGATGCTAGGTTCTGTCACAACTTATGATATAGGTTTTTCTCTGCTCTTTTTCCCAGTATCTTATTGACCTACTTACACATTCTTGCTTGTTCTCAAGAAATTGTATTCACCTTTTCTTTGTGCTCCTGAGGACTTGTGTTAATTACCTAAGGAACACTTCCCTTCCATGTTCTTTCATTAAAACCATCTTGCTGTGATTAAAATAATCAGAACTTAAAGCATGTAAGTTGTCCTACTTTTATTTTTAAGATCATTGGTGGAAGAAATAAATTAGACTGCTTAAAATGGATTAGACCAATTCCCATGAAATTTATCTTCTTTTGAATCTACATAAATTCACTACTCTAGAGTTGCTGATTTTAGATTAGAATTTAGGAGTACTAAATCCAATTTATGTTAGCCCCCTAAAAATGCTATTTAAATAAAGATTTAATTGATCAATGGTATAAAAGAAAATACAATTTAAGATAAAGAGCTTAAAAAGTTATTTTTAAGAGTATAATTATAACCATTATACAAAAAAATGTTATAAATATGGCTTATATTTTTCATTAACTCAATGATGATGTATTCTCTTGACACATTGAAAAAATGTATCATTGTCCTAACTGGTTTGGCTCAGTGGACAGAGCATCAGCCTGCGGACTGAAGGGTCCCAGATTCAATTCCAGTCAAGGGCATGTTCCTTGGTTGCGGACACATCTCCAGTAGGGGGTGTGCAGGAGGCAGCTGATTAATGTTTCTCTCTCATTGATGTTTCTAACTCTCTATCCTCTCCTTTGCGGGGGGGGGGGGGGGGGGGTGGCTGGGGGGGAAATGTTCTTAGAATAAAAGTATACATTTATATATATATAAATGTATACTTTTATTCTAAGAACATTTCAAAGTCCCTATGAAGTTTTACTGGATAGAAATTCAGACCTGGGGTTTTAACCAATGGGCCAAACACTTACTGCTACATAGCTCCATCGCCTAATTAGCATTTTCTAGCTGCAGCTACCCTCTTACTAGAGAATAGTTCCAGAATTGCCTTACATGTTGTAAAAAAAATCACCATTGAAAAGCAAAAATACAAAAGCATCAAAGGCAGGCAATGAAGTGGATTTGATGATAGTCTTAATTGAGACACCATTTTTAAGTTTCACAATAATAATGGAAATGTGCAATGTACAACTTGAAAAGTGATTTGAGCTTATTAAACAGTTTAATAAAAACACATGTGAAGATGTTCAGGTCTCTGAATTTGTTTCTTAGTACTAATTATAGAATGTCAGAGATTCAAAGTAGAAAAGCAGTCTGTCTTTTATTCCTGATTTGGAGACAAGTTAATTAGAATATTTTTCAATATTTGTGATAGTTTTGAAGTAAATAACAAATTTCTTAGCTGAAATAAGACTAAAAACTACTCAGTGGTATTTCTTACCTAGGGAGGATTTGAGCAGTAACAAAAAGTTTCAAAAACATCTTTGATCAAAAATTGTAGTTTTTAATGGGAAACCTAACTATGACTGAATATAAACCATATACATACATGTAAAATACATATATATATATATATATACAGTATATGTACATATACTGTATATATGATGCTTTTGTATATATATATATTGTATATATATGCATATAATAAAAACTATATGTATGTGGGCATGTATATTTATGAAAGAGAGAGAGAGGTTCCTTGCATATCGGTTCCTACTACATAAATTAGAGGGCATCTGAGCATGAACACTTCCTAGACATTGACATTGTTCAGTTTCTATCTAGAAATTGTATTTCCAAAGACAATTAATGGTCATAAGTAAACATAAACATACACTTGTGTTGACAAACAGAAGTAGGAAAGTTTTACAAGTTTTTTAAATAAATGTACACACAAAACACACCCATACTTTACACAAAAACAGGTCACAGTTCAACTGCTTTCATTTTCCTTGAACTTCTTCATTTCAGAAATTTTGGAGTGCTAGGTCTTACCTATTATCCCGTCTCAGCTGGTTAGGAGATAAAACAGGAGAACTGGGCTTTGGTGGTATTGGAGGATGAACACCTGGTTCCCTTTAAAATAGAACACAGCAGTTCATTTCACCTTGGAAACGTGATCTATTTTAGCATCTATTAATCAAATGTACTTATTACCTACATTAAAATATCTTATGCATTGTACAACCCCCATACATGAGATAACTAAAAGGTCAAATCTAAAAAGCACTAAACTTTAAAGAAGTCAAATATTTAAATTATAGATACTTTAAATATGTAATCAAAATTTTGGAAGTCTTATCTTCTTTAACTATGATTTAAAACATGAGTGTGTTTTTTAAATAGCTTAATACTTTGCTAGGCTATTTGGCTCAAGTCATGGCAGTTTTGGATCAGCAGCACCTGAGCATGGCTCTTGGGTATTAATATATAAGCCCCTTAAGGAATTATGTCAACTATCAGGCAGCTACAGAAACAGCAAGGAAGGTTTTCAATTCCACAGACCTCAAGGTAAAGTTGATTTGAAATTATTTTCTAAATCCCCCTTAAATGTTGTTAGTACAGGCCAGTTTGATGCTAGAAAGCATAGACATACTGTCAGCCTAAACTTTGCAACAGTGCCTGACTGGATGACCTAGGAACTGGAGTTAGGAACTGATGTACTATTTTGAATTGAGTCAGCATCCTACCCAGAGCATGTCACTCACATCACCACCACAAACATCCCAATTGTCCATATCATTCTCAAGATAAATTCCATACCCATTGAAAGTAGCCTTGATCTAGACTCTGTGTACCTCTATGGTCCCTGCAGCACATTAGGTGAACATGTAGGCTCTACACCTAGGCTGCCAGAACTGTCAGCTGTATGACCATGAGTAAACCAGACCCAGTTTCTTCTTCTGTAATAACCCTTCTACTAGGATTGCTGGGGTGTTGTCAGAATTGAATGAAATCATGCTCTTATTTGTAAACATTTATTGGTAGCTTTCTATGTATAAGGCATTATACAAAAATGGACAATTTCTCTGTTCTCAAAAGGCTTTCAGTAAACAAATAAATATATGATAGATAGAAAAAGTGCTATATGGATAAAAATAAAACAGAATAAGGGGTAGGAATAGTATTTTATATAGAATGGCCTGGGAAGGCCTCTCTGTGAAGTAAAATTTGAGCCAAGACCTAAAGGAAGTGATAAATGAGCCACGAGAACATCCATGGAAGAGCATATAAATATGGGCATGATCAAATTACAGGTAATGTTTAATACTTGAAACTGGATGAAGTCACCAAGGGTTAGTGTAAGTAGAAATGAAAAGTGGGCAAGAGTTGAGCCCTGGGACCTGTAATATTTTTAGATGTCAAGAATATGAGAAGAAAATAGCAAAAGAGTGTTGGGAGAAATGTGAGGGTGCAGATGTTAACAAGGAGTAAGTGTTCCAAAGAGTAACTGGCCATGCCAAATGCCATTGATAAATCAAACAAAACAAGGACTGGTTGTTAGCATGGTTTTGGCAATATAATGATCATTGGTAACTCTGATAAGAGCAGTTTTGATGGAGCAGTGGTGAAGAAACATTACAGGAGTGGTTTTAAGAGAAAATGGGAAGTAGTGACATTGAGGTGTTTCACAGTGAAGAGAGAAAAGACACATAGCTACATGAAGGTCAAGGAAGGTTACTAGAGTAGGTAGACATGATGATGGGAATGATCCAATGAAGAGGCTACAGTTGATGGTGCAAAAAATGAGGACTCTGAACCAAAAAATCTGGCTCCAGGAACCCTCTCCAACCCATACTGCCTCTTAATGGCTCCTTGGGCAGCACCAATGGCTCAGTTAAGGTTAGTACTCATAGAATTAAAATAAGGCTAGTTAACATTGTTTTATCTTGCCATATTAAGTTGCTTTGGGAGAATATACCGAGAGTTGAATTCAACTAAGTTTAGAATTTATCCAAGTAAATACAACAAAAGAATAGTAGCAAGGGAGGGGAGGGGCACACATAGAAGAGATTACAACGAGGGACCATGAGATTGACATGGAGGGAAATATGGATATGGAGAGAGGGGAAGAGAGGATAATAAACTGTGAAAGGATAATAAAATTAATGGATTGGTGGTTGTGGTGGGGGTAAGAAATTTCTGGAATCAGAAAACTGGAGGGGTGGGAGCTGGATAGACAGAAAGTGGAAGCCAGAGAGAGAAAGCTTTGAATTTGAAATTTTATACTGTGTGTGGTTACCTACAAGAGCAATACCTATGGGTGGCTCAGGTATGCTCAAGGACAAGATCATTGGAGGAGTCAAGAAAATGAAAGGCCAGGTTGGGAAAAGATCCTCTTCAAAGGTTTTGAAATCACCAAGCATTCTGATACGAGGCATGACTATGAGAGGCAATGAGCCTGATGCCAAAATCTTCAAGGAGTGAAAAGAATGATCCAGAGACCTTCAGATAATTCCAATGAGGAAGAGAAGTGCACAATGGCATGGCTCAAAGAAGATGAGGCGTGCAAAGGAGGAGGGAATTAAAATTGATAGGAAGTAGCAACGAGGAGCAAACAGAGCCCCGTGACATGTGGATCGGAGGAAAACAGTCCTCCCTGAGAGGAAGGCTGTGGGAACAGGGTCCTCTAGGAGAACCAACAAAGAAGTGAGAGATCATTCAGGCAGAGACTAGGTTAAAGAGCAGCAAGTTTTGATGATACTGGATGGCACATCCATGAGGCACTGTGGAAGGATTTGGGAGATCATGATGATGTTAACAAGGTTGGCAGACATAGATGAATTAGTCCCAGAGCTTTCTCCCAGAGTGTGGTAGTGAGACTGGGTGATGGGCAGTGAGCAGCAGAGAGTGGAGAATGGTGGGTTTCCTGACTCTCATGTTGATGGTGGAACTGAAGCCAGGAGAAGGGCATGAACCCTTTAGAGCACTGCCTGACTGTTAAGTGCTCAAGAAGTGCCTAGTGCTATGGTCTTTGTTTTTACCCCACAGGAACCCCTAACTGAACCTGTGCCAATTACTTGCATTTTCTATCCCCCTCACCCCTACACACACACATCACCATATTCTGGATCCTCTCTGGAGTATTACCTCCTCCCTTTCACCTGGATACCTCCTCCTTGCCGTTCAGACTTTGGCTTGTGCGTTACTGTCTCTAGAGGTACCCAACACTGTGTTGGGAACATTCCTGTGTTTCTCACAGCACACCGTCTTCACAAAACATATCATGATGTTTTGGATTACACATAATTTTCTGTCTTCACACTGGACTGTAAGCTCCTAAAAGGATAGTTGTATCTCAAGTACTAGAATTGTGTATGACATGGGTGTCCAATAAAGATGTGTGAAATAAGTGAGAGGAGCAATTAGATGAGTTTCTATTTGGTAAAGAAGGAAATGGGTACTTGAAGCGGGGTCTGAAACTTTCAAAATCTTTAAGTTCAGCTGCACCACAGAAGAAGTCCATTGTTGATTCCACACCTGTGTACCTAGTAGGTGCCAGGTGTTCAGCTGAGTTTTTTGTGTTACATGATACGCTGGGAAAACCTATTTACATAAAAGTGGTCTCCTATTGTGACTCAGAGTTAGAGTTTACAATTAGATAGTAATTTACTAGTGTTGCCATCATCTTCTCAAAAAATATCCCCATTTGGGGGATAATTTGATATCACTCACATGATCGTGTGTCTTTATTGTACCTGTGTGGATTAGCTAATTATATGCTTTTCTCCCAGGGGTAAAGGATAGGGGTACGAAGGTAGTCAGTTCTGGGTAATCATGGATCTGCACAGGGCACTGGATATCTGAGAATAGGCAGGAGAGGGTGACAAGATGAAAACGAGGATTAAAAAAGGATGATGCCAAACAGTGTTTATGCCAGAACTCATTGATGAAAAGCCAAGTTTCTTCCAGTTTGGAATGGCTAAGGCCCCCAAAAGGAGGGAAAATACTGATTGGGTATGTCTGAGAGGCAGAGATGTGTGGAGATGGTTTGGAGCATACCCAGGAAAGAAAAGAAAAGGTGGGCGTAGAGTTGCCAAAGCCAAGAAAAGTTGGGGAGCATATTTATTTCTGAGGGTAACGCATTTACACCTCTGCTGGGCAGGGGCTAGGCAATGCCACATTGACTTCAATTCATTTCAAAGAAGGTGTCATTTGCAACTCTGCAATGACAGTCCCAGATGATAGGACCCTAGCCCTCCGGGGAAATGAGAGAAATATTCAAGCCATGCCAGGAGCTCGAGGTGATGCTAAGCAAGGGGATTAAAATACAAGAGCAAAGCAGGAAGCTAGGACCTAGGATGTTTTGAAGAGAAGGAAACAAGAGACATTCATGTAGAATGATCCTGTTTGAATACCACTTTGAGACATATGTTTAAGCTTGGATTAATTGACCCTGGCTCTTCCCTCTCTTTCCCTCAGTCCCACAAGACCTTTGCAGGACTAATGCCAACACATTAGAGGCTATAACTGTAATGAATAACTTTCAGGGATAAAATGGCAGCACTCACAAGAAGCATGTGAAAACTTGCAGATAGTAGTGCAAGGATGAGAGCTAATAGAAATAACATTGTAAAGCTATTCCTATCACTTCCTTTTCATATGCTACTGCAAAGATCATATCTTCTCATAGTGTTGTTATTGTGTTTGCTTGTTTTTAATAATCAGCTTAGCTCTGTGACTTCTGCTCAAAACTGACTTTGTGAAGAATATTTCTATTATTGCAGCATAGGATTAAAACCTAGGATTAAAACCTAGCATCTAGATTGAAACTAGAACAATTGACTCTAATATTTAATTATGAATTTCATTTTCACTTTTCATTATGTCCGGCTTTTGTATCCCACAAATTTTATTTCTTAGTCCAATGATGATAAAAGAGATGGAACTTATATTTAATGAGTTCCAGCAACATGTACCAGGCCTCTAGTTTATTCATAAAAGGAAAAGATGGCCCTGAGCTCTGGCTTCAACCCATTACACAACTATGGGAAGGCAGAGTTATTATAAGGAGTTCTCAGTTCCACGGGGCCCCAAGAACTTGCTGTAGACCAAGCACCTTGCACATTGTCTAC